ATTATCCAAAAACTCGTTAACAACCAGTACGCATCGTTAACAAGAATTAAACACAAACTGAAACAATTTGTTCATTAAATCAAATTCAGTTAATCAACTTAATAAAACTGTTTACAGTCTGAATTAACATGCATATAAGATATGTTTTAACATTAATTCAAACCCTGGAGTCTACCTAGACATGCACAGAACACAGGTTTAAGGGAAGGAGTTAGAATAGGAACTTGTCTTTAGGTTTCAGTTCAAAACCTTAAACCGTCTGCTCTAGTAACTCCAGCGACCTTAATTGCTTTCACAGACCTCTGTTGCTCCTAGTTCAACCCACGAGCAAGCGTCAACTATCTCTCCTTGGTTCAGTCTTTGTTCGTGGCAAAAACCCCCAACTCTTTCTCTCTGTTTTTCCTCTCAAGCCCACTCTGTTTCTCTCTACCTCCAGTTACGGAAAAAGGGTTCTAAAACCCTTGTAGACACAAAACAATATATATATATAGGCTTCTCTCATAACCTAATATTTAATTATACTTAGAGAAGGAAATCGAAACTAAAAATTAAAATAGTAAAACCCTTTCTCTAAGTCAGCTAACCCACGATGTCATAAAACATAAAACCCTAATTTCACATTATAAATAATAATACTTATTAAATCCAATTAATTCATTTAAATAAACTAATAAATCCTTTAAACAATTAAAACTAATTTAATCTAATTAAAGAAAATAAAAATACAATTAAATTAACAATTAAACTTTAATCCAATTAAAGAAAATAAAAATATAATTAAATTAACAATTAAACAAACAATTCAATTAAAACAACAATCAATCAATTAATTAAAATAAATAGGCAACTAAACACATAAACAAATAAAAATGCAATATAATAAAACTTAAAATACAGATACTATCCTTTTAAAATTTAGGGATATTATACTGAGCCATGGCTTACCACTGCCATTCCAATGGAGGAGGCTCACCACACCAGGATGGAGATTCCGGCAGCTCCCAATCCGTGTTGGTTCCAACAGTGCTCAATTGGCGTCACGTGCCCTGCGAAGACCAGAAGAAAAGGCGGCAGAGACCCGAGCTCGTAAATTCGCCCATGCTTCTGAATCTCCATCCATTCCTTAATCCGTTTCGTATAACTAGACAATTTTGGACCAGACTGTTTAATCATGGTGTTAAAGGTCAATAATCAATATGTTGTTTTCTCCAAATGTGCAAAAAATTGAAGCTTTTGGAGGATATTTGAGGTAAAACTATTTAAAAGAAGCTTATCTCTTCATCAATCCCAATCATATCTTTACTGCCACTACCTAATTAATTTCTTCCCACTAAGGCATTAATTGTTGTCTCTATCTCTAATCTCTTCACCACGTAATCTAATTGGATTATAATAAATTCATCAACATTTATCCTTAGACTACATTCAATTGAAACTAAAATCAGCCTTGTAAGCAAAAGACTTCAACAACTAACCACAGATCCCCCAATTCCGGCCCTCTACAAAAGAAAAAATAAAAATAAAATAGCAGCAGCGGTACATGTGAGCGTTATAGGTAGTAGCAGCGGCTAAGGTGGAGGTGTGTTTATGTGTGTGTGTGTGTGTATATATGGCTGTGTTTGTATGTGTATATATATATATATATATATATATATATATATATATATATATATATGGTTGTGTTTGTATGTGTGTGTGTGTGTGTGTATATATATGTGTGTGTGGTTGTGTTTATGTGTGTGTGTATATCTATATATATACAGCTGTGTTTGTATGTGTGCAGCAGGATGATGGTGGGCAGAGGAGGAGGAGAAAAAAAAGAGAAAAGGTGTGTTGGGAGTAGTTTAGTTACAAAAATAGTCAACATGAGGTCAAAGGGTAACATAGTCATTTAACACCTCAAAAGTATTATGACCCCACCAAAAATTAACATTTGGGGTGTAAGTGAAATGTTAAGCCACTAATTCAACTATGAGTGCAAATTAAAAACCAAATCTTTATCTAGGTGAGATATGACCTAACCTCAAGGGGTCTGAGTGAAATTAACCCTTTAAATTAATATTAAACCATTGAGGTCAACTTTGCCATTTCACATATTAGAATCGAAGGTTATGCAATCAAATTGGAATAGTAAGGTTTTATGATTTTAATCCTTCTAATTTTGTGTTTGGTTAGGTGAGGCAATAGTACTTTTATTTACATTTGAGAATAAATGATTGAGGGTTGAAGTTCTTAAAATGACATGTTAGTGTGTGAGTTTCTTATTAGAATGGAAAAAAAAAAAAAGCGTTTGGTTCATTTTTAAAAAAAATAAAATTATATTTTTAACAATTAAAAATAAAGAAATTTGTTAAAAAATTATTTTATAGTTTTTTCACAACAATTTTTTTTATTTTCTGAATTTTTTATAATTATTTTTAAAAACTGAAGCCAATAGTTTCTCTATAATTTTGATTACTCTAAAATTTTTGTGAGTTTATATATAAGCTGTATTTTACCCTGTGTTTTTAATGACCCAATGAATATTTTTATTTTTTTGGTCAGGAGAAGGGGGTAATTGTAAAAAGTTATTTATTATTATTTTTTACCGAAAATAGCAGATAAAAAAACAAAATATTTATAAAAAAAACGGCTGTGGGCCATGGACTAACCGGTGACACCGCGGCATTCATTGTTACTCTTTCGAGTTTACCAAACGATTCAACCACTTTTCTTCCCCGTCTCTTTCTCTCTCTAAAAATCATTTTAACACCCGTTCATCAAGCCCTCTGTTTCTCTCTACCTCCAGTTATGGAAAAAGGGTTCTAAAACCCTTGTAGACACAAAACGATATATATATATAGGCTTCCCTCATAACCTAATATTTAATTATACTTAGAGAAGGAAGCCGAAACTAAAAATTAAAATAGTAAAACCCTTTCTCTAAGTCGGCTAACCCACGATATCATAAAACATAAAACCCTAATTTCACATTATAAATAATAACACTTATTAAATCCAATTAATTCATTTAAATAAACTAATAAACCCTTTAAACAATTAAAACTAATTTAATCCAATTAAAAAAAATAAAAATACAATTAAATTAACAATTAAACTTTAATCCAATTAAAGAAAATAAAAATATAATTAAATTAACAATTAAACAAACAATTCAATTAAAACAACAACCAATCAATTAATTAAAATAAACAGGCAACTAAACACATAAACAAATAAAAATGCAATAAAATAAAACTTAAAATGCCGAGATTATCCTTTTAAAATTTAGGGGTATTACACTGAGCCATGGCTTGCCACTGCCACTCCAATGGAGGAGGCTCACCACACCAGGATGGAGATTCCGGCAGGTCCCAATCCATGTTGGTTCCAACAGTGCTCAATCGGCGCCACGTGCCCTGCGAAGACCAGAAGAAAAGGCGGCAGAGACCCGAGCTCGTAGATCCGCTCACGCTTCTGAATCTCCATCCATTCCTTAATCCATTTCGTATAACCAGACAATTTTGGACTAGACTGTTTAACCATGGTGTTAAAGTTCAATAATCAATATGTTGTTTTCTCCAAATGTGCAAAAAATTGAAGCTTTTGGAGGATATTTGAGGTAAAACTATTTAGAAGAAGCTTCTCTCTTCATCAATCCCAATCATATCTTTACTGCCACTACCTAATTAATTTCTTCCCGCTGAGTCATTAATTGTTGTCTCTATCTCTAATCTCTTCACTACGTAATCTAATTGGATTATAATAAATTCATCAACATTTATCCTTAGACTACATTCAATTGAAACTCAAATCAGCCTTGTAAGCAAAAGACTACAACAACTAACCACAAATCCCCCAATTCCGGCCCTCTACAAAAGAAAAAATAAAAATAAAATAGCAGCAGCTGTACATGTGAGCGTTATAGGTAGTAGCAGCTGCTAAGGTGGAGGTGTGTTTATGTGTGTGTGTGTATATATATATGGCTGTGTTTGTATGTGTATATATATATATATATATGGTTGTGTTTGTATGTGTGTGTGTGTGTGTATATATATGTATGTGTGGCTGTGTTTGTGTGTGTGTGTATATCTATACATATACAGCTGTGTTTGTATATCTATACATATACAGCTGTGTGCGGCGAGATGATGGTGGGCAGAGGAGGAGTAGAAAAAAAAAAAGAGAAAAGGTGTGTTGGGGGTAATTTAGTTACAAAAATAGTCAACATGAGGTCAAAGGGTAACATAGTCATTTAACACCTCAAAAGTATTATGACCCCACCAAAAATTAACATTTGGGGTGTAAGTGAAATGTTAAGCCACTAATTCAACTATGAGTGCAAATTAAAAACCAAATCTTCATCTAGGTGAGATATGACCTAACCTCAAGGGGTCTGAGTGAAATTAACCCTTTAAATTAACATTAAACCATTGAGGTCAATTTTGCCATTTCACATGTTAGAATCAGAGGTTCTGCAATCAAATTGGAATAGTAAGGTTTTATGATTTTAATCTTTCTAATTTTGTGTTTGGTTAGGTGAGGCAATAGTACTTTTATTTACATTTGAGAATAAATGATTAAGGGTTGAAGTTCTTAAAATGACATTTTAGTGTGTGAGTTTCTTATTAGAATGGAAAAAAAAAGTCCTTTGGTTCATTTTTAAAAAAAATAAAATTATATTTTTAACAATTAAAAATAAAGAAATTTGTTAAAAAATTATTTTATAGTTTTTTCGGAACATTTTTTTTTATTTTCTGAATTTTTTATAATTATTTTTAAAAACTGAAGCCAACAGTTTCTCTATAATTTTGACTACTCTAAAATTTTTGTGAGTTTATATATAAGCTGTATTTTACCCTGTGTTTTTAATGACCCAATGAATAATTTTATTTTTTTGTCAGGAGAATGGGGTAATTGTAAAAAGTTATTTATTATTATTTTTTACCGAAAATAGCAGATAAAAAAACGAAATATTTAAAAAAAACGGCTGTGGGCCGTGGACTAACCGGTGACACCGCGGCATTCATTGTTACTCTCTGGAGTTTACCAAACGATTCAACCTCCTTTCTTCCCCGTCTCTTTCTCTCTCTAAAAATCATTTTAACACCCGTTCATCGTTTCTCTCTCTACCCAACCTGTACAATACAATTACGTTCATGACAGTTCGACATCGATCCATCGATCGAAGTAGAGAGAGAAAGGCAGAGTAATCTATAACATCTCTGCAACAACTTCGATACACAAATGGCGATTCTTTACGCGGTGGTTGCTAGGGGCACGACGGTGCTAGCGGAGTTCAGCGCTGTCACCGGCAACACCGGCGCTGTGGCCCGCCGGATTCTGGAGAAGCTGCCATCGGAGGCCGATTCGAGGCTCTGTTTCTCTCAGGATCGATACATATTCCACATACTTAGATCGGACGGTCTCAGCTTTCTTTGCATGGCCAACGACACCTTTGGAAGTCCGTACTTCTCTCTCTCTCTCTCTCACTTTGTGTCTATATATATGAATTTCATATACTTTCTTTGTATTCGTGGTATTTATGATCTGATATGTTTGCCGCTATTGTTTTTATACTTATTAGAGAATTCACTTATAAATTGAACATAGGGTTTGAAATAAGCGATCTACTGTTTTTAGAGTAATAGATTGGAAGTTGGAAGTATATTTAGTGCCTTTTCAAGTCTATGGGTGAAAGTTTTTTTTTTTTCCATGGAAATTTTAACTATTTAACTTTGACTTTATGAATCAATTTGATTTAAATGAAGCCTGGAAGCCCTAATTTTCAGTTCTTTAGGTCCAGGAGGAAGTGTCAGTTGCATTTTCATTTTGGTTTGACTTGATTATGTGATTCTGTCATAATCATCCTCATCATCAATATGCTAAATGAGCAGGAATAATGTTGTATAACTATTGTATATGCATTCTCACTCTCTCTCTTAGCCGACGTAAATCGCGCATTTTTTATTCGGTAGAGAAATTGTATTCCTTTGTGAGCAGAACTAACCTATAACTTGTGCTCTTAAAACTACATGGATGATATACTGATTAAGAGACTACTTGACTAGGAGATTTTAATAAATCAGTGAGCTAAGTACTTAAATTAGAATGTACTTCAGAATTTGACAAAGGATGTAATGTGGACCTACGGTAGCTTTGGCAGTGATCCATATTTTCCACGGATCCATGCTCTAAGAACTCGTAGGCATTGTTTTATCAAAAGAAGGCATGAAAAAAAATACTTCGTGGGGGATTCTGAAAAAATCTGAGAAGTTGGGTGTGGGTCCTTGCTGATGATTATGAGAGAGACGGTATTACACTTGAGCAGGAAAATAAGGTATGGTAGTTAACTTGGAGATTAATGCTGATTTAACAGAGAGAGGAAAGGGGGAAGGGAGAGAATGGCAGCATGAGTCACTAAAGATTAACAGGGTTAGAGCCTCATAAGGAGAAAAATTCTACTGAAACATGAGGGTTCTTCAAGTGAAGTCAATAGAGAGAATAATTCATAGTTCCGAGACTTGTGCTTTGGGTCAATCTCTAAACTCCTTTTTTGTGTGAAGTGAAAGACTATATATAGTCAAAGATAGTCGAGACCTTGCACATTTCTACATGAGCAAGGTGGCTTGCCCTTTGCTCGAACCAACAAGATTCCTCCTCTTGCAATGGGGGTTGTATAGGTGTCAAAGTAGGAAAGCCGTTTCAGCTATAGGGTCAGCAATTTCAGCTTTTGAGTTAGCTGCAATCCCAAAATTTCCGTGTAAGTCTCACCATGGTGTAATAGGTCCCATGATGATCTATATGGAAGGTTAATTTTATTGGTGCATTCATGTGGGCGCCTCCATCTATTACAGGGGCCACCCTCATAGCGGTGACTTTGTATAATTGATATGGTTTGTCATTAGGGTTGCCATGTCATGGCGGCAATCTTCATATCTGAGTAAAGTAGTGTCTCTCCTAGTGTCGGCTAAAAGTATGTTGTACTTCCACTAAGCCTTTGAAACCCCATATTGTCCCAATAGGTTGTGCAACATCTAAATGCCTTGGACGGGCTGTGATAAGTCAACCACATAACCTTGAGTTGTGCCATATCGCGTACTTGGATGTGGGCTACGATGAATCAGCCGCATTTCAACTGGTGTATGCCACCTTAAGTCAAGAGCATGACTTTAGGTTGTATATGATGGACATTAGGATGTCTTTATACAGTCTTCCGAATTTTTAAATATATTCTGGTGAGGATAAGGCTTAGTTGCGATGAAGAGGTTTGAGACACTTTGCACACGGAGAATCAACGTTAAGGTTTGTTTGTTGCCAGACCTATACTGGAAGACAAGGTGTTGCTTTGAAAAGACAACTTCAGGATATTTCTCTGAGAAAGCAGTTTTGTCATCTTGACTCATTATCAATAAGTCTACCTGATTATCATAGAACATAGCCAAGCTTCCACCATAGATATTGATAGTGATGTTTGATTGGCATAAATGATATAAATAGATGAGCCTTCAAGGTTTAATGACAGGAAAAATTGTTTTGTGCTGAAATCAGCGCAAGCCGATACTTGCACAGTGGCGTGGGACCCACCACAACAGTGGTGGGCCCTACACCACCATTTGAGTATCAGTTTGGGCTGATTTTGGCCCGAATAGCAATGCTCTTAATGATATAAGTGCCAATCATTGGCTTGATTTACAGTCTGGTAGCCTTGGGAAAATAAACAGGTTGATGATGGGGTAGTTCTGCTCATTATATTTTTACCATTTATTTGGATGCCGCATGTACCCTGAGGTTCACATATCCACATTTTTCACTTTATAGTGTTTCAGCGCGCGTCATTATGATACGATTCCTCATTTCTTGCCGGTGCTCTTATCTCAAAATTTCAGGGACTTAATACTTTTTTGCTAATTGGCATTCTTCAGTTGCGCACCTCCCTTTGTATTAGTAGATCATGTTCTCATGTTTGACCACCTAATCTCTAGGAGGTGTCTTCTCCCATAAAATTTGTGACGTGCAAAAGGAAGAGGGCAAGATCACCTTCTTTTGCATAAAGTAGTGGCTTAGTTTGATTGTGGGTATGTTCCAGATAGCTGCACTTTTTGTTTGTAATGTCAACTTAGTGATCAGTTATGAACAAAATTGGATCCTTTGTTGGGTTTGGGGTGAGGTGGACTCTATATGGAGAAGAATTACTCCATCACTGTCCAATTGCAGGAATCTTCTTATATTCATGTCCTTCCCGAGAGATTTGAGGTTTTCGGGCCATTATGATGCAGATTGGGGTGAGGTGGGACTGTGGGGCATGGTGGGACAAAGACCTCATTAGTTATCTTTGATGTGATTCGCTATTAAATGTTCATGTTTTTTACTATACATTTTACTAATATGCTTCTTCAGGTTTTACATGGAACATATTACTATTAGTACTCTATTCCAAATCACTTGAGCAACCATTATGACATAACTACCAAAAAAAAAAAAAAAAAAAAAAAAAACAGTGAGATTGCAAGTATCAGAAGAAGGTTATTTGAAATAAAAACTTAATTGATTGCCCAGGGATCATATTAGAGCAAACTTATGCATACTCTCTCATTTTGATGACATTAATCTGGATGGAGTGGCTTCGTAGTTAAAAAGCCTGTGCTACCTCAAACCTTACTGAATTTCTTAAACTGTTATTCTTAACCCATATAAGATCTCTGTACTGGTGCTGAGCTGTCTACCTTGCCCGCAAGCCTGATCTATATCTTGAGAAGCATGAGTGATTTGTTTTCTTGTTGGAATGCAGAGGTGTGGGACTGTGGGGAGGATGAACCTCTTTTCTGTCTGGCAGTGCATTTAGAATGACTGTAATCTTTGATTTTGACTCTCAGCATATCCAATCAACCTGATCAGCCTGTCCTGATGATTGACTAGATTTGCCTTCCTATCACTTTGAGCTCCATTTTTGTTTCAGCATCTCAGCCCCTCAATGTTTTTGAAAAGATGGATGGAAGGTTATTCATTTGAATCTGATTTTATATTTTTTAACTTTTGATTGTATGAAACTCTCTTTCCTTCAACTCTTACCTTGTTTGAGCTTGTCATACCGTTTTGTTTTCTTTTGTAATGCTTCAATGAGGTTTGGTTGTATTTTGTTCAATATCATTTTATCTATACTTTTGTTCAATATCATTTTACTTCTTTTGCACTTTTTAAAAGCTTTTCTCTCCTTGCCACATATATTCGTTCTTTTCTTATTGTCTTCATGAGTTGACATTGAATTCATTTGTGCTTTCGTCCAGGGAGAATTCCTTTTTCATACTTGGAGGATATTCACATGAGGTTCATGAAAAACTATGGTAGAGTGGCTCCATATGCACCTGCTTATGCAATGAATGATGAATTCTCAAGGGTCTTGCATCAGCAAATGGAATTTTTTTCCAGCAATCCTAGTGCGGATACTCTCAATCGTGTTAGAGGTGAAGTTGGTGAGGCAAGTGTTCCATTGCTCTGGATCTTTATTTACTATGTATTCTTTTATTAAGTGGTTGCTTCTAGCACTGTGCGTGTTCTTTATCCTAGAAAATTGATATTGTGTCAAAAGTCTGCCACAGATATAATCAGTTATTTCTTAATAAAAAATTGTCATTTTCTTGTAATATAGGTAAATACACACAGACATAGTTGCACAATCTATTGCCACAATAATCTTTTGGCCAAATTGCTCAAACCCCCTTAAACTATGCCTCAATTGCATATTACCCTTTTGTGATGCATAAAACTCCCCTAACTATGGAAAATTGGCAAACTCCCCCAAAACCTTGCATGGCGTTTGATTGCTGTTAAGATGAATGTGAAATTACACATTGACATTCCTTTATTAAAAAAAAAAAATTTACCTTGTACTATAGATTAAAGGCTGCCCCCTCACCGATGAGACCACCATGGCCGACGACCAAAATGCTCACACTGGCGTTGCCTCCAGATCTTACCGTCGGCTTCGGCCTCTAGTCTTTATTGCCTTTTCTCTTCCTCTCTCTAGAGCGAGCTACTCATGACGGCATGGCGGTGGCGGTGGCGGTGGCGGTGGCGGTGGCGGTGGCGGTGGTTTGTGTCATTGCGCCAACAACGATGACCATCAAGAGGAATCAAGTATTTCTTCCCAATGGATGCTTCAGCCGAGACGGATTCATCAACGATGCAGTTTCAGAACTTCTTTTCAAGACCTAATTCGTTTCCAACGCCACCAAAACCAAGCATCTCAACATTAGGATCACCAAAATGAGCAAGCCCTTTTCTCTAAAACCACCAACCAACTGGGATTCGACGGGTCTGGTGGCTAGTTTGAGCACCATCTGAGGGAGATTGGGAGGTTTCAGAGAATGGTTGCTTGCAATGCCTGTGGAGACGCCAAGAACAGTGGTAGAGGAGGATTAATCTTTAATTCGTTACCAACATCGTTTTTGCTGCAGCTGTTGTTTGGCCAGAACCAAATTTTTTCTCAAATGGGGACCCTTCAGTCCAGGAACAAACGTTTGGCTATTTGGGATTATTTTCAGAACTTAAAGTTGACAAAATGGATCAAACAAAAAAATCCATTTTCTGTACCCATTTGCAAACGGGTTGCTATATGGAATTGATGCAAGGGCATTTTTTGTCAATAAAAAGGGCACTATCATATATTTTTATAAAAAAAGTTTGCCTAGTGCACGAGGTTCTCACTATTGCGAGGTCTTGGGAGGGTCAAATGTACGTATCCTTACCTTCACTTTGAGAGGCACGATCATATTTCAGAACTTAATATTTCACATGACCATAGTTCCATCTCCTTTTAACAGTCAATCTGAAGGCAAAGGGCAAGGTGCATTTTTTGTCATAGATTAGGGGGGTTTTATACCTAAAGTCAATAGTTCAAGGGGTTTACTGCAATTTGCTCTAATTTTTTAAGACATCGAGGCAAAGTGGCCGGCCAAGACTTGCATGAGAGGAAGTGATTAGAAATGATTGTACGAAAATAAGTATAGTAGGAGATATGTGCTATAATAAAAAGAATGGAAAATGAGAATTCATGTGATCGGCCTATCCATATGGGAACAAAGGCAAGGATGATGATGATGAAGAATCCTTCAAGATGTTATTTGATTTGCTTTTCTTTTCTTTTCTTTTCTTTTCTCTCTAATTTTCCATAGGCTTATACTTTAAATTAAAATTGTTATTTGCTGAATACCTGTAAAAAAAAGTTTCTTCTAGTTTGCTCAGCATTTTAACTGTTTTAGGGTTCTAAAGAATTGTAGTTGTATATTTTTCTATTTTTAAGCTGCCTTTGATTTTTGTTTTCATTTTCTTATTCATAGTAGTCTTTATGTTTGTGTTATACTCACATCTTCTGACATATGATATTCAGATACGCACTATCATGGTGGATAACATTGAGAAGATATTGGAAAGAGGTGATAAGATTGAGCTTCTCGTTGACAAAACTGCAACCATGCAAGACGGTGCATTTCACTTTAAAAAACAGTCTAAGCGCCTTCGTCGAGCTCTTTGGATGAAAAATGCCAAGCTCTTGTAAGTTACTATTTATTTATTATTATCTTTTTTATGTTTCCAGGAGTCAATTTTTAGCATATACTATGAATTGAAGAATGTTACAATCACCCAAAAAAAAAAAGAAAAAGAAAAAGAAAAAAACTTATCCTGAAGCTACCTTAAAAAATAAGGTTTAGATGAATCTGATCAGCTCATGAGTTATCAATATTCCTTTTTTATCTTCTCTGTGTGCGGCTGCGGAGCAAGGAATTCACTCTAGTTGGGGCAACCTTGAACAACAGAATAATAAAAATAAAAAATTGAATCAAACTAAGAGACGATAAAACTTAAATATATATCAATAATATTTCCATTTATATTTGTCGTCATCCATTTAATACATTTCTTTTATAGTTCTTGTTTTGAAAGTGTTGCATAATAACCTCATTATCAATGTGTCATTAAATACATCTTTCTAAATATACACAACAAAGCATATACTCATCCATTTATCTCCCATCCAATTGCGCAATTGATTGTTTTCACGATAATTATAGTAGAGAGTGCTATCTTTATTGTGGCAGTTGTAATTCATAATAATAGTAAAAGATAATAAGTTTTTATTTATTATTTCGTTCATTTTTTTTTTTTTTTTGGCTATTTACTATTCATTGAGGGTGCCAAACTAAATAAAAGGTTAGTGCTAGAACAACAACTTGAAAAACTTGCATCAACCGCAAAGCTATAGAGACATCAAATACAGCCATTAGAGTTGCAAATATAATTTTTTTTCCATTAAAAAAGAAATAAAATAGATAAAGCTTTTGGATTTTGGGCTTTTAAGACCAAAGAGTACATTTCAATTTTAGTGTAAATATTCAATATTACAGAAAAATATACATTCAAAATTGAAATAAAAGCAAATTTGAGTGGGGCAGCTGCTTCAACTGGTCCTCAAGTGGCTCCACCACCGTGTGTGTCGGAATGTTGAATCATATCTTTTTAGTGTGACAAGCTTGTAACCTAGATTTCAATCTCTGCCACATGAATGTAGTTCTTCTCTACGCTGTAACTAAGAGTTATTAGCTTGTGATTGCTACAGATATATCACATCATAATCCTTTTTTTAAAAAAAAAAAAAATTGAAGAATATGATTTTTATTTATAAATAAAATAAAATAATATAAAATAAACATTCAGACTTCTAATCAGACAACTGTTAGAAGCTGTTTAAACAGCCCATTTTAAAGCTTTCAAGTCGTTAGCACGTAAAATTTTACATATGCTTTACTAATTTCATGCAATAAATTAATCTTCTGATTCATGACAGGGCCTTGTTGACATGCTTGATTGTTGTGTTACTGTACATAATAATAGCTGCTTGTTGTGGAGGCCTCACTCTACCATCCTGCAGATCATGACTTGCACTTTTGTCATAGTGAGTTTCAGCTGAGGTATGCGAATGACGACTTTCCAGTTGATGATGCATCTCTCAGTATATTGAATTGGGGTCTCAACTGTCTCACGGCCCAGGTTTTCAATGTTTGATTGAAAAAAATTGCCTATATCTTGAAGGTTACGGAAATAATCCCGATGATCCTCTCATTGTTGTTGCACTTTGTGTGATTTAGTGTGAAAGGCATGATGAGTATTGTATTGTTGTTTCTCTATATTTGTAAATGCTGAGAATTTTTGTGTAGTATTCTACCATTTATCTTCAAACTGCTGCTTGTGATGTCATGGCATCTTCTGTTTCTGAACATAGTTTATTCAGCAAGATTAACTGAACTTATTCAATGTGTGACCATATATATATATATTTTTTTATTCATGACTATAGTGTGTATTAAGTACTAACTATGATGAGCGAGTGGAATGGTTGATGTCGCTCGCCTTTTTTTTTTTTTTTTTTGGCAAAATGAAAATATTTGCATTGAGATTCCACTGGAAGGATGATGCATGTACTTAGAGCCTTAGACTAGAGAATGGGGTAGACAACATTAGGGTTGCTGTTTAAATTTGTGCATAGAAGAAATCTCTGAAAATTAATAAAGAACAAAGAAAATGAAATAGAGAAAGTAATGAATGACTGTGAAGAACTTGGTGGATTCAATGGAAGGTTGGAGGGGATTCCCTTCCCCTGTTTTTTTTCTTGGAATGGATTAGAATGGATCCACTCATTTGAATTCATCAACAAACAAGTAAACAACAAAAAAAGGGGGAGGATAGAAATTTCATTTTACTCTGAAAATTAACTCTTCGTTTAGCCCTTGTTCTGAAAACTCGTGAAATTTGTCCTCTCCAATCTATGTGCTTATATTATTTGTGATGAGTAACAACCCCCCTCCAGGAAAAAAATAATAATAATAATAATGATAATATGAATAAGAAAATGGAAAAGAATCCTATACGAGAAAGGGGTTTGGCAATGAGTAATGCTGTCATGTGGAGTTGCATCCTTAGTCATTGGAGCAAGTTGAGCTGGAGTGCCCTCAGTAATAGATTTTTGTTTTGTCAATTATTTAGGCTGGAATAGTTGAAAGGTGTCTAACATTTTTTGTTTTGTTTTCCCTTCTTCCTTGTGAAAAGCCCCATTTTTCTTTTCTTGTGTTTTTTCCCTCTTCTTTTCAAGCAAAAGGAACAAATAAAGAGGAGACTCCTCCGCAAAGTAATGGCAAAAGACGAGCTGATCACCTGGAATTTCTCAAGCAGTGATACATCTGATCTCGCAAATGAAAAACTTCAGACATTTCAAACTCATTCCAGGTTGTAGTCTCTGCGTGATCAGCAATTGCTATATGTGCACTAATTTTACATAGCTTTACTTTACGGCCTCTCAGTTAGTTTGCACCACTATTTTGCAGAGTATATTTTAGAATATTGTTACTATAGCTTGTAAATTTGCTGAATACACGATAATTAATGCATGTAGATACTGATTGGAGGAATTCTGGTTAATATAGACTTCTAGACCATAACCCTTTGATACCCGCACATTTTCTGACTCCTACGGTCATGTTCACATTTAAAAAATATAATTTATATTGATTCGTGAATTCTTACGGGTTGTACAACTTCAAAATTGGAATGTGCATGGCTTTTTATATGCTGCAAATAAGGGATGCCTCCTACATACAAGAAGACAATTTATGGCATGCTTTGAGGACCGAATGAAGTTGTGTTGAGACAAATTTCCAGCAACCCTAATTGAAAGTAGTGACCGCAAGGGTGGTTAGATGAACTTACTTGAAAACAATTGCTATGTTAAACCCCAAAGCTTGAATTTATTTTATTCTGAAACTCTCAAACACAATCATAGGTTAACTGTCTTTTGGCGTGAGCTTGTTCAACAGGCAAACCATGATACAGAGTTGAAATGGATTGTAGGTGATGAGCATGATGGGATCCAAGCATTAATTGTACATATCTGCTCGTGGAGGGAATCCATACATTGGTGGTGGGCTTTTTGGGGGGGTGTGAACTGGAGGAGGGGAGTGTGGAGCTGATAAACAGGCAAAGGGGGATTAAACACTGGTGGGCGTGGGGGGTGATAAACTGGTGGAGATGGCCTAGCCACTGGCGGTGGTTGGTAAGTTGGAGTTGGTGGTCTTTGAACTGATGTTGGTGGATACGTTGGTATTGGTGGTCTTTGAACCGGTAGGGGTCTACTTGGAGGCTTATAAAACAGTGGTGGTTGATAAGTTTCGGTGGTCTTTGGACTGGTTGTGGTTGATAAATTGGACTTGGTGGTTTGTGAATTGGTGGGGGACTATTTGGAGGCCTATAAACTAGCGGTGGTTGATGAGTTGTAGTTGGCGGTCTTTGAACTGGTGGTGGTTGATGAGTTGGAGTTGGTGGGCTCTGAAGTGGTGGAGGACTACTTGGAAGCCTATAAACTGGTGGTGGTTGATAAGCTGGAGTTGGTTGTCTTTGAACTGGTGGGTGATAAGTTGGGGTTGGTGGTCTTTGAACTGGTGGAGGATTTGGAGACCTATAAACTGGTGGTGGTTGATAAGTTGGTGTTGGTGGCCTTTGAACTGGTGGTTGATAAGTTGGAGTTGGAGGTCTTTTGGTGCTGGTGGTCTTTGAACTGGGTGAGGACTACTTGGAGGCCTATAGACTGGTGGTGTTTGGATTGGTTGTGGTTGATAAGTTGGTGTTGGTGGTCTTTGAACTCGTGGTGGTTGATAGGTTGGTGTTGGTGGCCTTTGAACTGGTGGGTTATAAGTTGGAGTTGGTGGTCTTTGAACTGCGTGAGGACTACTTGGAGGCCTATAGACTGGTGGTCTTCGGATTGGTGGTTGATGAGTTTGTGATGGTAGTGTCTGAACTGGCGGTCGATAAGTTAGGAGTTGATGGTCCTTGAACTGGTGGGGGACTACTTGGAGGCCTATAAACAGTTGGTGGTTGATAAGTTGGTGTTGGTGGCCTTTGAACTGGTGGTTTATAAGTTGGAGTTGGTGGCCTATGATGAACTGGATGAGGACTACTTGGAGGCCTATAAACTGGTGGTCGATGAGTTGGCGATGTTGGTCGATGAGTTGGTGCTGGTGGCCTTTGAACTGGCGGGGGACTACTTGGAGGCCTATAAAGTGTTGGTGTTTGATAAGTTGGTGTTGGTTGTCTTTGAACTCGTGGTGGTTGATAAGTTGGTGTTGGTGGCCTTTGAACTGGTGGTTTATAAGTTGGAGTTGGTGGTCTATGAACTGGGTGAGGACTACTTGGAGGCCTATAGAGTGGTGGTCTTCGGATTGGTGGAGGTTGATGAGTTGGTGATGGAGGTCTTTCAACTGGCGGTTGATAAGTTGGGAGTTAATGGTCTTTGAACTGGCGGGGGACTTCTTGGAGGCCTATAAATTGGTGGTGGTTGATAAGTTGGAGTTGGTGGTCTTTGAATTGGTGGGGGGCTACTTGGAGGCCTATATGCTGGTGGTGGTGAAGGTGGTGATTGGTAGGTCGGAGTTGGTGGTGGACTACTTGGAGGCCTGTAAACTGGTGGTGGTGAGTAAATAGGTGCACGAGGCCTATGCTTTGGTGGAAATGAAGGTGGTTTGTGAGTTGGCTTGGGCAAATGGGGAGGGCGATGAACAGGTGGAGATGGCTTTTTCACAGGCGGTGGTCGGTAAGTTGGCGCTGGTGTTCCATATACTGGTGGAGGGGACGGACCATAGTCCCAGAGCTTCCAGTGGTTGCTGCTGCCGCCATATTTTTATCTCAATGGCAGTGACAGAATTATGGACTATGACACTCGACAGTAAAAACACTGATATAAGGAAAACTAATGGACACCAAGAATTCACACACTGCAGGACTCTTGATTATCATAGCGTAGAAATTGGATTGGATGCTTCAATAATTGGCCATGTCGAGGCTGGTTTGAACTGGAGATCAGTTTCAACCTAAGACCTAAATTTATGGGTGTTTCAAATGGCAGCTTTTGAGAAGTCGGTTGCAATTCGTGTCAACAATAGCGAGTAGTGATATTGGAACTTCTGCCTGGTGTTCATCCTCGTGTAAGAAGCAGCAGAAGATTGGTGGACGAGTGTCAGATTGAGCCTCCCAAACGCCCTCCATCCATAACTCTGTGTGTATTAATTTCTAGCGTATTTGTTAGTGATTTCTCTTGTTTGTATCATCGAAACCTTCCAATAATAATTACCGGGAATCACCAGGTTGGTTGATGAATTTAACCGTTTTCAATCGAAGTATCTCTGGAAGTAAAATCTTGCCTATAAAAAGTTCAAAACCGTATAAAGTTTTCAAACTAACAAGTTGTTCTCTAGATTTGTTTTCATGAGTGATGAATAATGATACAGAATTTCCAACTAAATTTATATAAGGAAAGAATGACCGTTATTATGATATCATCATATTTAATGACACGTACATCTCACTTTTAATTATGAGCTTGTTTTATTCAACCGTGTGCCTAACGCAAATATAGTTGAGGCTGTTTTTGGTAATTAAAAAGTGATTAAAATTTATAAATACAAAGAGCATAATTAAAATAAATGTGATATTTATACCTCACAAAACTAAAAGAGTAGTGTAACAGTTTTCTTTTTGTTTAAATAAATAAACATAAATACTCAAATTTGGATGCAGAAAAGGGATAGGTCTTGTCATTTGTTTTTGAATAAGAAAAGCGTGCATAATTCAATCCATCATTTTCTCTAATGTTGACATTAAAAATTGAAAATAAAAAAATAAAAAGAAATTGTTTTTGTTTTTGATTGGGGATATCGAGGTACAAGAACCAGAAGTAACAGATGTTATCCAACAAAAAAAAAAAAAAAACCCTTAAGTTTTCCATCCAATTGCATTGCTCAATCCGATGCCATTCCATTATTCCCATTCCATGTACCAATCAATCAATCGATCTAGCATCATGAGATTGAGGTTAATTAATTCCATAGATAGCATGAATCTATAAAATTCGAAGGGTTACTAAACCCATGAACCAGAACCGCCCAACTACTTCAAAGTCGAGCCAATTTCAGATCTACAAAAGTCAAGCACCACCCATTAAAATGGAGTTCAGTTTAGAAGAGGTGGTTCAAAGCCTCAAACCTCAGCAAGCATTCTAGGATTCTGTGATTGAATAACAAAGAATCAACACTTACCAATTGCGCTCTTAAAACATAAACTACCATATCCATCTTATTAAATTGGAAATAAGTACTATATATTTAAAGTTACAAAAGCATTATGTTCTAAAGATATGTTTTTCTTACAATTATAGGCTAGAATCAGATATGCTCTAATCACTCCACATTTACCACTGCGTTTAAATCATTCAGTTGCCTTGCCTTTGCGTCTACTGCCAGTCTCCAACAGGTAACAAACCACAGAATCAACATCATCCCCAAATAGGCTATAAGCTTCAATCACCTGCAGATAGCTGAACCCCATTGACAGAACCATCTGCATGCTGCTGCTAAGGACAGTATCCGGCAAGCTATGCTCCCTCCCACTTTCGAGCTTAGTTTCACTGACAGAGGACCCTGTTTTTCAAGTTCAGAAACACGCCCAGTTTTAGAACCAAACTGATTCGATGCTGACACAAAACCTAAAGCAGCCAATTTATTGATATGCACTCAACATCAAAGAGCAAAAAAATCATTAGCTTTAATTTAGGGTTAGATTGCAACCCTGAATAAAATAAGAGAATACTCACTAGCTCCAGAGGATGACGGTTCAGCATCAGACGCAGTATATTCTTTCCCATGAAACTGCTGCTTAAACTTGTCGCCAGCAAGATACTCAGCCCGTGAAACTTCCATCACCATGCGTTCAATTTCCTTCTCAGTAAGTTCCACATCAGAGTAAAGCCGCCCCTCGGCTAGAAGTGCCTGTCATCAAAAAAATGTTGGAAAAATTTAGACATCACTTCATGGGTTTGTTAAGACATAGATTCAAGCACATCGTGCTTCTCTATAACCATCAAGATACTTACATTGTCAATCTGTTGGTCTTGTTGAGCTCTGATAGCAGCCTTGACCTGATCTTTATCAACGTTTGTCTGTAGACCAAAAGTATCAAACTCTTGTGAGTCCACTATAGACTATGGAGGACAAAAATACTAATATATTATATATACAACAGTTGTAGTTCTAAAAGTAAGTGTTCAACAAATCCTGTCCACTGTCCCAGTCTTTCGGGAGCAGTTTGGAATACAACTGCTCGGTTTGGTTGAAATCAGATCAACGCTGATGGGCTTTCTCAAAAGGAATTATGAGGTCAATTTTGATTGTTCTACCATGTTTTTTTTGTCAAGAAATAATCAAAAAGGAGAAATAGAATCACAATTAGGGCTACATTTACATCCAAAATGAAACATGAATAACTCACAAGACATTCCATTTGCAAGTGAATCACGTCTTGCTTCCTGTAATCCTACCCCCATCAACCCACTAATACGAAAAAGAGAATTTGTTTCTCTGGGAAGAGTGGGAATATCCCCCTCTAAAGTGAGACTTGTCCACCCAGATTCATGGAGAGGCCACATCTTTCCAGCAAGCGGGTGAAGAGACCAAAAAGAAAAAGTTAATCTAGGGTAAAAGTTGAGCCTTGTACCACTTCGTTCAGCCTCAGAATATAACTACGATGGTGAACCTAATTACCACGTAAAAGAAAACCTGAACCGACAAAAACAAAATAATTGGGCATCGACTCACCCCCTGCAGACAACTAAATCCTAGTCCTGCACCAATAGTTAATCGTCGCGGATCAACAAGTGAGTTGTAATGATTCCCGTGATAATAACTTAGTCGAATGGGAGGAGTTTCAGTGTTGTAGCTTTGATGAAAAATGTTGATAGGTTCTGCATTCACAATTTCATTAAATAAGAAAGGTAGAATGTTGAAAATACCGAACTTCTTTGAAATGTTTGTCACTCTCATCTAAAATCTAAGACAAGAGTAGCACCTGTGCTATACGAATAAATATGGATGGGCCGGTTATACATTTCGGACATGGCTTGAATCTCCACATTGTTTCCATAAACCTGTCACCAAGAAGAAAATAAACATATCATCATAAAAATAACAATGATGTTAACACACACACATCCTAATTCAGATTATTTATGGCTATCAGTACAAGTAATATGGCAAAAATCACGTACTTTACAACAAAAACTGAAGTTAAGGGATCCCAATCAATACCAGAAGATTCATTAAGAAGAAAGGAACCAGATCAATATATATACAATTAAAGGGGAGGAACCCAATGAATAGATGGGCCTCAGAAGCATGGTAATCGTAGGATGCATGGACTTTACTTCAAATATGTCCAAAGATTAGATATAGATATGTAGATCCATCCTGCACATCTAGATCCATTATATGTTATACAATAGGATAATATATGATCTCATTATTCATTAAAAAAAAAATATTCAATTAGAATTAAAATTAAATCTGATGTTACTGGGAAAAAAAAAAAAAAAAATTTCTCATATACAGCAGTAGGAAACTTTTTCTGCTATCAAATTTGAACTTTTCCTTTTTCTTCTACCCTCACATGCAGAGTGTTAAGATCTCCAATTTGAATTCAAGTATCGGACACCTACTTCATACTGATATCAATATCATCTAGTGTCATCATACATTAAGAGAAAACAATAGTTACAGTACCAAAGGCGTGTCCGTCTCGGACACTTCCAAACACATGTCCGACATATTTTGGACTTGTCTATAGTCTAAACATAAATTTATTAACTTTCAGACACCTGGCCAACACTTGCAATATGTGACTAATGCACATTATACATCGGATAAGACTTTCCTTAAACATGTTAATAATAATAATAATAAGAAGAAGAAGAAGAAAAAGAAGAAGAAGAAGAAATCAAATTAAAGATACAGAAAATGTAAAGGGATTGTTAGTGTGAGCACCGGAGGAGGAGAGAACAGAAAAGTCGTTAAATAAGCATAAATATCTATGCACATAATCTACACATCCTTATTCGACTTTCTCGAAAATTTAAAAAGGAACATTTTTTTCCCTCCCCAACAAAATGCCAAAAGTTGCACGTATTCATTACGACTTTGTTATGTCTTCTCATATTCATAAATTAAATACGGACATGGAGCACATAGGTAATGGAACCAACCATTGCTATTGCATAACAGCACTTAATTCCATGCAACTTAAAGCTATGAAAATGAGGCAACCCATCCTAGTTCGCAGATCTAAAGTTTCACAGTTCAACTGCATAATACACCACTTTTTTTTTTTAATCCAATTGTAAAACCGTCTACAATTTTTACTCTGAGCATAGCTTTCTTTATTGTTATTTACCTCACATTTCTCATAAACTTCTAAAAATTCTAACCATTTAACTTTTTTTAAAAAATTTTGTTTGTTGGGGGGGGGGGGGGGGGACTACTGCCATCATGGTAAAGAAAATCACCCCCATTTAAGTCGAAAAAATAATATAAAAAAAAGTGCCAAATATTCCAAATTGTATTTGCATTTTAGAATAGATAGAAGGAATGAACAAAAACCTTAATTACAATATCACTTACCTTATCTCTTCTTTTCCTCTTGCAATAAGATGTGAAACCTTCCGTTATAAATTGAGAGAAGTGATCTCTGTCCCTCTCCTGAATGGAAAAAAAGCTAAAAGATATTATTCTATGCTTGAAAATGAAGAGTATCAATTGTAGAAAAAAGCAAGTATAGATGCACTCGATCGTAATTGGAATTTCAACACTAATCGCAAATCAAAATGACATATTTCGTATGCCGTTTCGCAAAAAGAAAAAGAAAACGAGGAGATTCCCTTCTGTCTTTCAAAATAAGGGACGGATGCAGAAACCTTTTTTCTTAGCAACAGGACCGTTGACCGGATTCTAAACTGAAACTTGTCGGACTTGAGCACCACCAGAATTTCCAAGTTATACCTTATGAAATACATAAAATATTACTGCAGCTCTATGAGAAACTAATTACAAACAAACAAAATCCACTGTAACTTTCATAGATAGATAGATAGTTATATGCGCGCGTGTGTGTGTGTAGAGAGAGAGAGCCAAAAGAATTCAGGGAAGCTGAAGGTGCAAGATAGGGGTGGCAATACTAGACACGGTACGCTAACACGACTTGATCACGACATGGGATAAGTGGGTTTGGGTTTGGCTTAATCCTATTCGGATGGTAATCTTGTTGACCCAAATTGACACGCTAATTAAAAGTGTCGTGTTCCATCAATCCATTTATAACCCGATTAGACCCATTTAACAAAACATGTCAGGTACAAGTGTCATATTCATGTTAGAAATTACCATTATAATTTGATCAACCAATCCAAACAGTAAAACAGCAATAATTCAACTGCTACGCTAATTATTCTAACTCTTGATGAAGCACAGTCATCAAAGAACAAAACTAGAGAATGTTTTCTCACAAGGCCATTTCAGACATCCCCTAAGATAATAACAAGCCATTCTGCTCTGGATATCCTTTTAGGTGGTAAAACAAACTACATGCTCCTTTTCATTAAAAACAAAAATCATATGCTACTTAACAACCTACAAACAATGTAAACTCTGTGAGTGTTTACGGAAGAATATGCATACCATATAATCTATGCACATTTGTCTAACCAAATCATAAACGTCGGAGTCCCCATAAACTTGATCCGCAACAGCACGAAAGAGGCAATTCCCATCCTCCAACATTCTTTTCACTTCTAAACCTTTTGCACGTCGTATATCAATCTCAAACTGGCGTTCTCTCTCCTGAAACAAATGCAAAACACCTTGTTACAACACTGAATTTGATGGGAAAAATAAAACAAAATAACAATACCAAGTTGAGGTCACCACTTTCAAACATGAGAGAACTTATGAGGCTTCACATAATGTCAAACAAAATGAGCATCAACAAGAAGCTCGTCTGATATCTTTATTGCAGCCAGCTTGAAGAAAAGCTTTGATCATATCATGGAGAGGAACTTCCGTTGTGGCTAAAATAGTCAGGGTTTTCAAATTGCAGATGCAATTACATCACTACTGATGTAAATCAACTGAAGGTTATGTCCAAAACATAGTGACTAAGCAAATTAGACGTGCTAAAGTAACTAACCAAATAATGTAGTTAAGAAAAACAACAAAAATAAAAAATATATTTCACCTTGCTGTAAGTATGAGAAATTACATAGTATTTTGCAAGCTAGTGAAAAATCATTCTATAAAAGACATACAGAACAGTTTCAGCATATCCCCATGTAGGTTGATGGTTAAGCACATGAACAATAAATATCCCACAACAACAACAATTTGGAGACAAACACTGTAATTGACAGGCGACAAAAGGATTATATTTAGAGATTGAGAAAAGGGGGTTAACAGAGAACAGGACTTACTGCATCATCAAAAGAGGCCCCAAAGCAAGGGCTCTGCTCATCAGCGCTATTGTAACCCTCACTTTCACAATGAGACCTGGGAGAAGAAGGCCGAGACCCAGTTGAAGTTCTAGCCGGAACGACAGGCCATGCAGCTGCTCTTCTGGATGATCCAATCCTAACAGCATTTGAACTACCCGACACGAATCTCCTTGAATTTGAATTAGTAGAGGAAGGTTTCGGGGGTGGAACAGGAGGTGGTGGTGGATACGAACTGCCAGTAACCATCCCTGAATCGCTGAATCGCTCTGTTATTCGCAACCCACCTAACTCATTCCTTAAATCCCCTGAAACCGCAACATCAAATTTCCCAACTTTATCGCTATCAACAACTTCTTCATCATTCCGATCACAGTGAACGCTCTCCGGTGAAAGATCATCACTCTTTGATGCCTTATTGTCATCACTACCAGAACATTCCGAAAGATCATCCGCAACAACCTGTTCTAGCACTTCCTCTCCCACTTCATCGTCTTTCACTGTTGAGGCAACCTGAGTAGAAGTAACCTGATGCTGAGGCGTAGCCGAAGAAGAACCAGGCAAAGATGAAGACCTGTTTGGGTTGGACGACGAGCCCGCAGAACCCCGCTGAATCAAAATCCGAGTCATCTTTATTCTTCAACCTGAAAGCTTCGCTCTAATTCTTCCTCCAAGATAACCCAAAATTAGAGAAAAGAAACGCTAATTTTCAATTTGCCGCGCGTCCTAGCCTTGGGCGCAGTCACGCCGATCCCTCGGCCGAATGATTTGTTCCAGACCACTGCCCTCTGCTCCTCGTGAACCGATCTCTGCATTCCCCTAACAATTCTCATGAGACCTTGACCTCCAAGATTTAAACAACAAAACCCTCTTTAAAGTTGTCGAATTTACCCGAAAGAGAAAGCCTGAAAATTCACCTCCACAAGCTCCAACTGCAATCGAAATCATCAAATCCGTGAATAACAACAACAAAAATCAAGACTTTACCCCCAAAGAATCGCAATTCAACAATATGACATTCAATTAAACCCCGAAAACCCAATCGAAATTCAGACGTCAATAATTGAGATTCCAAGAAATTGAAAAACCTAGAGTTGACTCGGTTGAGTTACGGGACTCACCGGAGAGAAATCAAGAAACTCGAATATCTGCAAAATCCGAGACGCCGAATCAGTTAGAACGCGTTATTTTGAGCAAGAAATGGATCAGAATAAACGTCTGTCTAGGGTTTTCGCTTAACACAAGAAGGAGATAACTTTAGGGTAAAGGAGTGTGTGTATCTATGTGTGTAGAGAGAGAGAAAATGAGTTAGAGAGAGAGAGAGAAAATGAGTTGATGTGAAATACTTGGTACAAAAATGGGAGGCTGCGTTTTACCGTGGTGGGAGAGGCGGCCACGTGACGTGGATTTATAGTGACGTCGGCTTACTGCAGAATCAAATATACACGTGTGGAGCACTGGTTGCACGTGCGCGACACATGGTAAATTAGATTGGAAAAAATCTGAGTGGAGGTTAAAAATACATTCTCAAGTATTAAACCCCTAATTAATGTGTTCTTAGTTAATGATGAATAACCAATAGTTTTAAGACAATAATTGGTCTAAAAGAATTAAAGTTTATAACCGAAAGGCTAGTTAAATAAAATAAATAAATATAATAAAATATATATAAATCTATAAAGTATGTTATGGAGTATTTGTTAGTGACATACTTCTTTATTGATAAAGCTAAAAAATGGATAAAAATAAGTAAAAGTAACATGGGACATTTGCCTCACCACATGTGGTCATTAAATCAACAACCACTCATTTTCTTTCATTATCACACAATAGCATATGTATTATTTTTATTTTTATTTTCACCAATAGCTTGTTGGTTAGATTGGCTCAATTTTTCTCATTTTTCTATGAAATATGTTAGCAATTATAACAGATGTAACAATTATTTTCATTAAATAATTGCAGCACATACATTTAAATTTGATTCCATCGCTGCTACGAAAACTTGTCGAAAAGGCACCTCATTAGACACTCGAATGGCGCTAGAAGCAACCATACAAGTTAGATGTTTATTCTATAATAACAAGATAACCAACTCGTACAAACCCACCTCTTCAAAGTAGAGGTGCGGAGTACAAACCCACCTCTTCTAAATAAAGGTTTGGAGTTCAAGACTCAGTGATGTTGGCCTAACCTTTCAACAAAAAAAACAGCAAACATTCATCTTTGTTTCACTTATTGTCTTCATTTAAAATACATATAGAGAGAGAGAGAGTGATGCTACAATTGACGATGAGATGGATTAGTTGGACGACTTCAATCACCAGTCCAACGACGACTTTTAGTAATGAAAATGATATCATTTCTCATGACAAGCTTCTCAGAAACATGGCCCATTGTCAGTCTAGAACTTCACAAAGCTGCTGTTCAGCAAATGGAAAGAAAAACGAACATCAATGATAGAGATGATCAAAATGAATCATTGATTGGCATCAAACCCAAGTCCGACATTGATTTGCATCAAACTTGCTGGTCTTAGGGTTTCCTAGAGCACGAGTAAAAAATTTATCTTGACCCTAAAAAGTAATCTTAAAAACCAAACCACCTATGCAAGATTTGTGTGAGAATCGTTGTATACAAACAAGCCTGCCTCTTCTATTTTACAAGCCGCCCGTGCAGCTGATACTTATTTTACATATCTCAAAAATCCCAAGTGGGAAGATAAATATATCAATTTACCCATGTGTTCATCAATAAGAAACCTGGTTCTCGAACGACAGCAGCTTTAAACACACTACTAATACAGTATATAATCCCCTATGGTCGCAACCTCCATCCCCGCTCAGCAAGTGCCACATGCACCCGATTGGCTGCTTCTGCAGTGTCATTTAGAGGAGGATAACTCCAGATTTCTGACATCTGAACATTTGAAACAGAGGAATACTAATAAATAATAGGAAAAGAGAAATGTCAATATTTCATGAATAATGGTTTCCATTTGGGGTGTTTGTATGGGGTGGAAGGGGAAGAGGAGACTTCAATATGAGTAGTCTACAACAAATCCTCATCAAGAGGTCAGCATAATCTTTACCTAATTACCATCTGGCATGTTAATGACAAATCAGTTCCCCTCAACAAAGGTGACAAACAATTTGTTGAAGGATGAAGCATTCCGTTATACACACAAGGTCCCCACAGCATTGTTATAAACAATTTTCAACCAAACAGTGATGAGAAATATTAAATTTCAAAAATTACAATTGCTGTTATTTGATGTACAGACAGGACTTTTTTCTTTTTCTTTTTCTTCTTCTAGTTACTGAAAAAAAATATTTAAGGTTTAGTCTCATTCTAAAACTGTGAAGAAGATCAACACAAAAGGTACAGACTTCTGCAAGTGGACATGGAAAATTATCTTGTAACCATGCTACATATTGAGAAACCAAATTGCAAAAAGAAAAACTCTTTTTGAGGGAAAACCTTTTTTTTTTTTTTTTTGATAATTTTGAGGGATAACCTTATTACCAAACAGTGGAGTCTTTCGGTGACTCAATTTTTCCTGGGAAAGGAAAGGACTGTGAAATTGAAAATTGGCAGGAGAAGCAATGGTTTGGGATGGTATTAAGGCAACTGGTGGCAAAAAGTTAGTCCAACATCCAAATTGAGGAAGTTTATTTCTAGTGAATATCAAGAAATATAGCATAAGTAGCAGTAACATGAAGATTGTTCTAGTAAATCAATGGTTTTGGGTAATCCTTTTCCCTCACAGAAGACATGCAGGTCATCAGTATGTCATGGTTTCAGTTATTTGATTTTGTATATAAGTCATTCTTTTTCTATCAAACAAAAGAATCAAAACACTAACCCCATCCTTCTTTTTTTACTAGTCCCATTATCAAAATTTCATAGAAATTATGATAGTACTTAAACTTACATCCTCAAGCCCAGTGAAAGGCCGAACTAGACCTCGTTGCGTCATAGCCTTATGGAACTCTACGAACTTCCACGTACAACGTTCAGCTCCAATGACATATACAGGCTTCCTACAAGAAAAAAAACAATGTAAATAATTAGTACACAATAGCTCGGAACAAAATCCAATTTGAAATAAGGTAATTCTCCTCAAGCGTACCCTGTGCCACAAGCCTCACTCAACATACTGACTGAATCAGCTGTGATGACGAAAGCATCAGCCCAAGCTAGATGTCCCATGTGTGGATTTGGCTCTACAAATGATGACAAAAGTACCCATCAACTCATTGCCCTGATTTAGTAATAAAATAGTGACTGCTTAATACTTAACCCCCCAAAAAATAATAATAATAATAAAAAATATTAGTGATTGCTTAAAATTCAATCAACTGAGATTACCTTCACCATCCCATATGTAAATCTTTGGATGATCTCCAAGTTCTTTCAACACTACGTTGCGAACCTGTTCAAAAGCCAAGAATTACAAAATACATACACTGATACACACACACACACATATATATATGGGAAAATCTAAGTACATAGTGGAAAATATTTAAGAAAATTAGTACATTAAGTACCTTTTCAGGAGTCCTCCTTGAGAAAGAAATTCTTACACTCCCACAGCTCTCGAGGACATTGTGTAAAGAAGCTGTTAACTGCTTTGCAAGGTCTGCACCATATCTACAGCGGCCTACAACAAAATTGGATAGAAAATATTGGACATAAACAATATTATATAGTGAAACATCAAACAAAAATGTAATAAGACGGGTAATTTAAATTTCACTAAGAATATACAACATAGATGTCCACAAATTGCATGAAAATCCAAATTGAAAATTTTAAGCATGAAATGTGTTCTAGAAAATCAGAAATTAATTTTTTACAACAGAACCATGGCATAGGAAAAAAGAAAAATAAGTAAAGACATCTTTCAAGATCTTTGAACACTTTCAGGACCAAAGCTATGCCCAAAATTAAGACTTTCCGCAGTAAACCGCAGTAAAAACATATGGTGACATAATAAAATTTTACTCAGTCCACCAATAAGATAGATTAGATCTTTTGGTAGGAGATACAACATAAAATGCACATAATAAGACAAAGAATCAATACAAATAATTGATTTATATTAGCTAAGAGTTGAATAAATTTCAAAACTCCTCTTAAACATACAAAATTTTCTTGATTCAAACTTTCCATAGAAGAAAATTATAAAGAATCTGCTTGGCAACTAAATGGGCACCTGAATCAGATCCCAAACCATTTGTCAGGCTATTGATCTCCTGTTCCTCAAAGTTAAGATATGACATCGATATCAGTTTCTCAATAATGTCAATTCTGGACACCCTGAAAAACATTGGCACGCGTGTAAACCTTGTGCTTTATGCCTCTACCTAACTAAGCTATATCCTACACCTTGCATCGATGACTTGAGATAGTTACAAGACATCTTGAGGCTTAAAGCTTAATATTTTGGTAATTCATCCCTGTGGGCATGCCTTTAAGTGGCTCCATTATTAATAGGGAGAAATCAGGAAAAATGTTGCTCATAGAATTAAAGAAGGATTGATTAAGCAAAGAGTACTTTAGCGTATTTGTGTGATTGGTATATCTTATGAGGCTAAAAGGATAATTCTGTAGAACAACCATTAGATTAGCAATGCTATGCTTTATGAAAGAGGATACCGAGCAGCTAAGAAATAACATGTTTATAGAAAGTGCATGGTCCAAATGCAAATGTTGAGATGATATATAGTAAGGTTGTAAGACAAGAAACGATGACAATTTAGAAATAAACACGTTCATGGGAATGTAGAAGTATCAGCAATTGAGGTAAACTGACATAAATGACTAAGATGAACTAGTCATGTGTAGTGAAGGTCAAAAACTACTCCAGCGTGTTACCAAGGTAGGAAAGGACAATATTAACGTGAAATCAAGTACTAAGAAATGATATGGTAGCACGAAGTGGGAACACACTGAGGATAGCGACACTTAAAGGACACTCTTAAACACCTTGCGGATACGTCCATAATTCAAAAAACTCATAGTATTTTAGAAACTTGAACAATACATCTCCAGCATTCTATAAAACATGACTTATAACCACACAACATTTTATAGGAACTATTTCAGATGCTTATGGAAACAAGATGGACAGAGGGCAGGCCTCAAAGCATCCAGTCTTTTTTTTTTCCAGTTCCAGTTTCTCTCTTTCTACCTCTTTAAGAAATTTTTCTTTTATTTTTATTATAGAACATGGTAACTAGAAGTTAGGCATGCAACAAAGACTTTATTATGTGACAACAATAATACAATATATGATATGTACAGCACTTATCAAGTTTCATCTTCTATATTATGCAATTTTTATTGTAGAAATTTAGATATATAGTCGAATTTATACATTACTGTTATATTAATATTATAAATTGGCCTGTTTTCACCATGTCTGCTTACTACTTTTTTAGGATTTACTATGTTGGTGCATCTGTTTTGTACTTCTATATCATGACCATGTTTTTATTACTTAGAAGCAAGGATCTGTTGAGTTGATTTACATGCATATAGAACATGGTAACTACCTCTCTACATCCAGTCTTTTTTTTTTTTTTCAAGTTGCTCTCTTTCTACCTCTTTAAGATTTTTTTTTTTTTTTTTTTTAATTATAGAACAACGTAACTAGAAGTTAGGCATGCAACAAAGACTTTATTATGTGACAACAATATAATTGCAGAAGACAAATATGTCGTAAGAGAGTAATAAAATATATGATATCTATGGCACTTATCAAGTTTCATCTTCTATATTATGCAATTTTTTTTGTAGAAATTTAGATATATAATCGAATTTATTCATTACTGTTATATTTATATTATAAATTGGCCTGTTTTCACAATGTCTGCTAACTAATTTTTTAGGATTTACTATGTTGGTGCATCTATTTTGTACTTCTATATCATGACCATGTTTTTATTACTTAGAAGCAAGGATCTGTTGAGTTGAGTTCCATGCATATGCCCTCAAGTCGCTGCTCTATCAGAAAGCATCTTTCATGCTTTCTAAAGCCTCAACTCATTGGGCATATGCCCCGTGTCTATATATATATATATTGTTGTTTTGAAGTAATTATCCAAGGTTCTTTTATGTTGTTTGGTTTATACTGTGTTTGTTGTTATCACTAGATTAATACATCCGAGTAAAACAAAATATTAATGTTGTAGATAAGTATAATTGATAATTAAATTGTAAGACATAATGTGCTAAAGAATACAAATAATTTACACCTTCCCTAACAGCTTAAGCTTTTAAAGAAAATGATGGATAGCATGGTATGAGGGCAGGCAAGGTCCTGAGTAAATCTCTCTCTCTCTCTCTCTTTGTCTCTTTGCGTCCACACTATAGACACTATTTTCTATTTTTTAATAATTGAAAAGAAAAGAAAAACAGAGAGGTTCACTAGCCATGACTATGCTCAGGTAGTTATAAAAGAAAGTGAACGTTATTTCAAAGGGAATTCTTCATCAAGTGCAATTTTAAGTCTCCAAACATTTCAAAGTGACTAAGCAACTAAGATAATGAGAAAAGAAAAACACTCTCACGCGCCCCATATAATTAGGATAAGCCTTGTCTAGTTGAGTCAAGCAAAGGTTACAAGTATAACCAAGTGCACAGAATTCAAAAAAACTGAAATAAAACATAAAATTCCTAACTCATTTCCATGCAGCTTAGGGGTGGCAAACTTTGACACGACACGAGTTAAAAGGGTTTGGGTTGACCTTAAATGAGTTTGGGTCGTAAACGGGTCGACACGATTAACTCGTTTAATTAATCGTGTCGTGTTTGGGTTGAGGGGTTCAACCCGTGTAACCCGTTTATGCTAGTTTAATTATACGTGTCAAAAATAAATTTCTATTTGAGTTCCAAAATTACTATATAAAATTGTGTCTAATAATTTATTCTTTTCTAAACTAGAGACTATTTAGTAATTTGGTTGGAATAAAACTTATATTTTTTTAGTATTTATTGTTTTATTGAGTATTATTAATAAAATAAAAATAATATAATTTTTTTTTTTTTAATAGGTCATTAAACCGGTTACACGTGTAACCTGTTTAATAAATAGGTCGGGTTAGTATTGAGAGTTCCTGACACGATTATTAAACAAGTGTTCAGGTTGAGTTGTTTAGTAGAATACCCTTACGTCGACAAGACACGATTATGACCCACGAACACGAATTTCCACCCCTAATGCAGCTGCACAAGCTTCAAAGACCCTTCTAAGAAAACCAGGCCCAAGCCTAAACTACTATTTATTGATTATCATACCATTAAAAAGTCCATCAAAAAGATTCCCATATATTAGATTACAGCAAGACTGTTATACATTAAATGACGCTGTGACAATAGAAATTTTGCCAACCCTAAAATACAAAAAAAGTCACTGTAGAAAACTCAAGGGAACGAAGCACCAAAACCCAAGAACTAGTATGTCAAGGAGATGTAATGAATTCAACATGGAACCAACACTAAAATAAAGCATACAAAAAATGGTAAGCAAATACTAATGTTGAAACCAAATTCCCAATATCAAATTTACTTGTAGGCCCTCCGATGTTAACCACAAGTATTGGCTTTGGCAAAGGTGCAAACTCATCATGCCAGGTGCTTGCTGCAGTCCTGAGTGCGGCAGAATCAATTGGATGAAGAGCTCCTATGGTGAGGACCTGAGAAACATACAACATTCAGTATTAGATGTAAAATACATCCATTAAGGGCACAGATTTCCATGTAGAAAAACCCCAATTAAGGAAGTAATTTTTTGTCAAGATATATACCACATGTTTTTCAGGAGGTTCACGTGGAGTTATCCAACTCCGTAGAAACCAAGGAACCTGCTCCTGTGCGTGTGAAGTCAAGGGGTAGTAATCATGTTGAGGGGTAATCACCATGTCAAACCTATTTAAATGGGACCTTGGATGCTGAATCTGGAACCACAATGTGAAAAAGAAGAGCAAAAGGTCAGGTAACTTAATATTACAATAAAATTTCTTGGAGTTAAAAGAAAAGCATGCAGCAGACTCCTTGGGAGGGGGGGTGGGGGTTGGTGTGAGTACCAACTAGGGAAAAAAAAAAAAAGCATGCAACAGTTCGTATATACACATGTAACTTAGATTGATAAACAATAGCCTGCTAAGTTGCTAAAAACAAATGAATCGTATTTTCCACAAAATTATTTCAAAATTCAATATAAATGTACACAAGCAAGGAAAACAGAACTTTGGAATTTCAAATTTTCATTTCCCAACAAGTCCCTACCTTGTCAAAGACTTCATTAATATTTTTGTTAAAATTGCTGTAGTACAATCAGCAAGAAGAGCTGAGACCTCTTATCCTAAGGATTTGATTCGTATTTGGAGAGGATGTCCCGTGTGTAGTGCTGTTCGCAATTATTGGAGAGTTGTACCACATTGTGTCTGGTGGTGCATTTGGAAGGAGGGGTATAGTAGAATGTTCAAAGGGAAAGAATCGTCCACGGCGATTCTGAAACTTCATATCATACGCTCTCTTTTCAGTTATGTGAAAAGGAAGTCCTGTTCCTCTTCCAAAGATTTAATTATTTTTTTGGCTTCTTTGGGGCCTTAAACCCCGGTTCCACTTTTGTATAAGGGATGCATTCCCCTATTGAACACCTTTTTAATTCAATTATTACTTATCAAAAAATAAAAAAAGAGCTGAGACCTCTAGCTTCACTTTAAGACAAGTGGCAGAGAAACTTCTAAGAGGGCCTTGTCTCTGCATTTGACACTATGGTAGACATGTCAAACATCAGATATGCCAACAGTGTCCAGAACTGCAAAAGGATTGCCAATGTTTAGAATCATGGAAAACAGACAGACAAAATGCATCAGACATCCAGTGGACAATTCATGAAACAGTTGTAATTTTTAGAAAATAAAAAATACACATAAAAGCAAAGGAAAATAGAAATAGATTAATAAAGGCATTTATAGAAGCTATAACTTGGCCCATTCTATAAACTAGAAGTGTAATACAATGAGAACTCCACCAATGGCCACGCAGCCTGGTGACATTAGGGGGCTTTTCACATAACCAGATGTTTTTGTTATTTTTAGTAATGTTTGATTTTAAGGTTATTAGGGTATTTTCATGTTTTAGGGCTTATGAGTTTGGTTAATACTTTTCCCATATAAAGGCTCATATGTAATCAGACAAGTAGCTTTGAATTATTGAATAATATTGTGAGTTTGCAAACTCTCCCTCCATGTCTCCCTCGTGTTCTCGCTTTTCTCGATCCCTCAGTCTCTCCAGCCTACCCCCCCTTCAATCAGTTTTCTCACCCCCTTCGTCAGTCTTCTCACCTCTTTCGTCTAGTCTCATCTCAACTTCTCATTCTCGTCCCCTTCTTTCTTTCTTCGAACATATCTAAACACTACTTCCCCCGAATCATAAAGTCATCAAAGATAGCTAGCGGCCAATTTTAAACCATCTAAAGTTGTCAAGAAGTGCCCAAATAAGAGAAAATATAGGGTGCTATAGACTTATAGTAGTAATAGCAGGAGAATAATAAAACCTATGTATAAAATTTAAATTATACATTATATATGAAAATGTTTGGCAATTTGTCGGTGCATCTGTTCTATATATAAAACCTATCTTTTAAGAGTTGACAGAGTAGGAATTTAAGTTATAGAATAAAAAAAAAAATGTTTGATGCCTTCTTCCTTCCACCATATGTGATAAAAATAGTAGAGACGTCAATCTTCCACTAATAGAATCAAATGGTTTTATGGTCACAGAAAGCAGACGATGGGGGCCAAAAAGAATGGGAAATCTATCTGATCAGGGTTAAAGTCTAAACTTGGGCAACAATCAAACAGTCCAAGGATCATGATGAAACAGTAAATCATCTAATAACAGAAAGCAAAATGGTAAGGTGCATTGTTTGTAAAAGCACGCCTAAGTTTTGTGCTAATGTTTAAGATCATGTTAACTTCAATAAGATACAGGGCGCCAAAACAAAATTAGCAGACATCTTCCAGTGATGGTACTTAAATTTGTCGAATTGCTAACAGAGGGTGGATATAGCTGGCAACAAAAGCAGCAGAAATACCAGTAATAATAAGATGATGGAAGATAACTTACCATGAGTTGAAATGAGAAGTCCAGAATTTTTTACACAACAAAAAGTTGTTTCATCTTCAAGTATATGCACGCGCGCGCACACAAAAAAAGAAGTAACAATAATAATTATTATGCACCAATAAGATCTCGGTAACAAACCTGAACAACAAACACCTTGTCAGATGCTAATCTTTTTATAGAGCTTGCAATTGAAATGGTATCTCTGCCAGATGCGACCACCAATAATGGGCCGTCCCTGAAAGAACTTCCCGAATTACTTTCTTATGTAGTCAAATTAAATTAAGAAAGGGGAAAAAAACAGTATTCTTGAGCTACAATAATGACAGCAATGAAATGTGGCACTAAACAAATATATCTCAAAATCTGAAGTTATATGTTGCATAGTTGCATTGGATTAAAAGATGCACATCAGACACTTCATGAGAAGAACATGCGGAAAAAATCCAAAGAGAGCTGTAAAACAAATATAGGCTATATAGCCATGAAACCATCCAGAAAGTTCTTAACACAGACGGTTAAATGCAGCTCCATTTTAGACCGAGCAAGATTGGTATATGGCATTAAACTGCAGGGGAAGGAAAAAAAGGAAGAGGGGGGGGGGGGGGGGGGGACGGTGTCCTACAAGAGAATATGATAACAAAATAGTCATTTTTTATTATTCTTTGCATTTAATTTAGGCTATTTAGCCATATTCAAGCTGCAATGTTGCATCGACTATTGCAGAAAATTTTAATACTTCTTCACAACTAAACTGAATTTTAAATGCCTTCTCAGATGGTTAATTCCAATTCTTGCTTAAGTCATGTTCCACCAGAAGCAAGAATAATATCAGCTATCAGTACCAGAACAGACATGGAGTAGTTATGAGAAAGTTAACTGATTTGTAATTGTTTTCTTTTTCTTTTTCTTTTATTTTCTTTTTTCTTTTTCTTTTTCTTTTTTTTGTGGGGGAGGAGGGTTAAATAACTAATCCGTAATTAGGGCTGCAAATGAACCGAACTGTTCATGAACAGCTCGGGCTCGGCTCGCTAAGGGCTCGGCTCAGGCTCGTTCATTAAGCAAACGAGCCGAGCTCGAGCCTAATTTCTAGGCTCGTTTAGTAAACGAGCCAAGCCCGAACAACATTAGGCTCGGCTCGTATGGGCTCGTGAACAAGGCTCGTATAAGGCTTGTTTAAGTTCGTGAACAAGGCTCGTATAGGGCTCGTTTATTAGCCATTTATAAATTCTTGATCCAGCCCATATGTGTGAGTCCATTACAATTATATGTGATAAGCCCATTTGAAAACCAACTACAATCTAAATAACAAAGCCCAAAAAATAATGGCCCATATTCATTTTAAAGACCCAACCCATTTAAGTTTACAAACAAACCCTATTCTACTTTCATTCTCTACCACAATTCACAAATGAAGCAGCGGCAGCCCTTCCATCTTTTCTTTCCTTCTCTGCAACGATTCTGAAGGTATGTATGTGCATATATATATATATATATATATAGATCTATAACTTTGATATATATATATATATATATATGATATATTTGTGTTATATATATACACTAACCTGCTTTGTATTATATATACTTGTATATATGTGTGCTGTGTATATATAGGTGTTGTGTTCTGTGTGCGCTATATATGTGTGTGTGCTGTGTATCTAATTAAAGAAACAAGTAGCAAACCAGCTAGCTATTCTAAAGGTTGATTTCACTTTCAAGGGCTACTTTGATGACTTCCATCTATCTACACGAATCTGTGTTGCTCTTTTTACCTTCCAAAAAAAAACTGCTCTTTTTTAGTGGTTTTTCATTTATTCTGATATTTTTGTTCGGCTATTTGGGCAAGCTTGAGAGCTGAGAGCCTCCCCAATATGTGCGCAGACGAGCCGAACCAAGCCGAGCCCGAGCTTGTCGATTTTCTGACGAGCCGAGCTCGAGCTTGGCTATTCTAGGCTCGCCCGAGCCCGAGCCGAGCCCGAGCACCTCCCTGATTGTGGCGAGCCGAGCCCCAACATGCCAAACCTCGGCTCGGCTGGGCTCATTTGCAGCCCTATCCGTAATTGGTATTTGTATAAGAATTTTTATAAACCAAAACTTCAAATTACAATAACTCCCACGGATTCTTGTAAAAAAGTACACATATACAAATTGAAAATTGTATATAACTTTGGATTTAAACCATATTATGTACGTCATTAAAATAATTCATAAATAAATTACAAAATGCAACTTTTGGAATTCATAAATAAAATTAATTGTTTTAAAGTTTCCTTGTGTGTTCAATTGGAAGTACAGGATATCCTTCCAAATAACATAAAAATAAAAATAAAAAATTAGAAATTAAAAGGTCTAGGGGACCATTCTCCCACCAGCCCTTCTTGAATCAATCCCCATCTCTTGGACTATAAGTTGGAAATCTGAGCCTAAATAATTGAATCACAGCGATAGCGAAGTCCGCAAATTTTCGATTGCACATTAGAGGCCATATCTTTTTTGAAGAAACAAGAATGTGCCTCTAAAACCCAAGTTATTCTAATTAACTTATTTAATTTTCTTTTTGAAATAGGTTTATTATCATTCTAGGGAAGTTGTTTACCTTGTGTGTTCTATTGGAAGTAAAGGAGATCCTTCCAAATAAAGTAACAAATTTAGAAATTAAAAGGTCTAGGGGACCATTGTCCCACCAGCCCCTCTTCAATCAATCACTATCTCTTGGACTATAAGATGGAAATCTGAGCCTAATTGAAACAGAGACATAGTGAAGTCGGTGAACTTTTGATTGCATGTTAGAGGCCATATCTTTTTTGAAGAAACAATAATGTACCTCTAAAACTCAAATAACTCTACTTAACTTATTTAATTTTCTTTTTGGGAGTTATTTACATTGTATTATGTCATATTAAATTTATATATTTTACTCCAAATTAATAAGCTATATGGCATAATATATGTCACACGAAGAATTTTTATATTGTAAAAGTTGGACAGTTCAATCAGAAAGTTTGATGAACAGATGCAATAATATGCGTTAACACTATGATTCATGAAATTTGAGCACTACTAATTCTTAAAATATTCGTTTTAATGATATTTTCAGTTTTTGAGAAGAAGAAAAAAAACAATATTTGGACGTTTTAGCATACAGTAGCACCGTCTCTAAGGTTCCATAATGGTCTCTGCTAAAACGGGTAGGGTGGATTTATAAGCCTTCATCTACATATGTTGAGTTTCTGTTTAATTTACATTTTCATGCATTACAAAATAATGACAGCATGACTTGCATTCCAACAATTCCACTGAAATGTATTGCCAATCAATTGGTCAGATCATTATGCATAAGCAAGTTACATTTTATAATTTGTCGTCCCAATATAGAAACCATCTCAAACTGTTAATAACTTATTTTTTTCACTCTTTCAGGCTGTTGGGCATTAAGTGGATTTTTTTTACCAAATATCCTTACAAAAAAATTTAGAACAGGGTAAAGAATACTTTTTAGTGCAGCAGATTTAAAGAGGAAAGAACGTACCTCTCAAAAGTCTCCCTCGTCATTGTTACAATCTTCTTCACATCTGCTTCTAAAATAGATGATAAACCTGCACTGCCACCATTTTCAGTAGGCATAAATGGAACATTCTTCCTCCTGGCAGTCAATAGAATATGTGAATAACCACAGATCTGCCAAATGATGTAATCCAACATTTTGTGGAGAGAAACTGGAAGCCAATGAAGCCACTCATTAATTCCTCCCATTGGCCTCGTAACCCGCTGCATGTGTTGTCGGGATGAGTATGTGACACGAGCTCAGTAGAAACAATATAGGACTAAAACTACAGCTCTCAAAAGGATTTTCCCGAAAAACATTTTGGAAGACATGTTTTTAACTCAAAACTGAAATTGGTACAATCACAACAATACAGAAAACTAGCTTCGTTTCATGATAACTGCAAAAAAATAAGCTCCACTACACCTTCCAAAATAAAAAATAAAAGGAAAAAAAAAAAAAAGAGAGCATACCCAAAAACTGTCTGGTCATGTTTCACACGACCAGACAAAGAGGGAGGGGAGAATAGTTATCCATGTCATCCAAATATATATATATATATATAAAATTTACGTAACTCAACTCAATAAACATCTTTCCAACACTCAATTATTTTGGAGTTTGGATAAATAAATCTTGTTTTGTCATACTGCTTGACACAAGGCATTCAAATTCATATGGGTATGACAAAAGACCCATATAGACGGTAAGACAATAATGTGATTAAGAAAGAAACATTGTAATGCATGCTATAATGGCAAGAGACATACAAATGAACATGTGATTAGAAGTTACAAATATAGATGTCATAATAATATAAAAAATTCAACTCAGACCTATCTTTCATATATTATATGTTATTATACATATATAGGTCAAGTAAGCAACACAGACAGCCATTTTGCCACACTTGGGGCTACAAAGACCAATCTTTTTGTCTCTGTTTTTTCATTTTTTAATTTGTGGCCTCAAACTGGGAAGGAAAATATATATATTTGAAATGCCAACTTGACATTTTGTTTCAAGTCAAAGGTTTTCAATATCAGAAGAAAGACCACACAAGGTGTCAACATTACCAATGTGGCCAACCAAGCAAAAATGTTATGCCTAGGTACTATGCCAATAATTCACTCCATAATGGCAAGTGATCCAGTTAGAGCCGCATAAAGTGAATGTAGTGAGACAATCCCCCATGAGCCTCCTCGTACTTGGGCAATTAAACAAAAGCAACTCATATTAATTTACAGAATTTATAATGATTTCTTTGTTTCTGAACAACATATATAATTAAAGTAAACAAAATTAATTAGATTTACAGAAGTGTTCTGGAGATCAGGAGGAAAAATAATTAATCATAGGTTAACACATTATAAAAAGAACAATGATAAGTTCTTGACATTTCTTCTTTTTGCTGCTAACACACAACTTATTTCTTTTTAATCTTTTAAAACACCAACGGCACAAGAATGTTCACATTCATGATTCCTTTTCTCCTTTTCCAACATGTAACAGTATATGCCTATAAATAATCCATAAAAAAAAAAGAATTTCTTATTTAGTCAACGAGGCGTTGTCTCACATGCCCATACACGTACAGAAGTTTCCCAGAAGCATCTTTTAACAATAGTATTTCTAGGTGCCAAGTATATGACAACTCTATGCATGCCTACATCACTACAGCCAGCAAATGAGAAAATTTATTATTTGCCTGCATTCTGTGGTCTGCACAGAAACACAGAAGGCTTCAGGATTAAGGAGCTGGACCAGCTGGTGTAATACCATGTAAAGGAAACAATAAACAAGGACAAGAAAAATAAGCATTGCTTACTGCTCTGTGCAACAAGATTTTCTATAAGTGAACTTTTCAAATGTGTTGTGATCAACAACGCATTTGAAATTTATAATCCAACTCAACTCAACAAAAAATTGTTCCAATTATTTTGGATTGACAAGAACCATGTCACACTTGCACACTGGTTCAATGATTGAACTTACACTCCAAAAATCGAAAGTGCCAAACATCTTAATTGATTTTCCCTCATTTCATATCCAAAGGCAATATTGACAACAAGAAATTCTAAAACTCATTTGTGTGTGTTTGTGTGCGCGTGTGTGTAGCTAAAAATACAAGTTGGGCTACCACGCATGGCTGTTTTGAGGTTAGGTCCTTTTTCAGATGCCTTTCGTTTGGTCATGGAGATCCCTTCCCTTGGAAGTCTATTTGGCGGTCCAAGGCTCCCCGCAAGGTCGCCTTTTTTGCTTGGACCTCTGTTCTGGGTAAGATTTTAACCCAGGAATCCAGGATAATCTGAGGAGGAGGAATCAGGTGGTGGTCAATCACTGTTACATGTGCTTGTGTCATGAAGAGTCTGTTGATCACCTCCTTTTACATTGCAGCATGGCCAGAGATTGTTGAGATTTGATGCTTCGTTTATTTGGGGTTCATTGGGCAATGCCTTTCTCCTCTAAAGGGTTGATTGAGGCTTGGAGAGGCGTCTCTGTTGGGGTTGGCATTAGGGATGCTTGGAAGGCTACGCCGCTTTATTTCTGGTGGTGTATTTGGCTTGAGAGAAATTGGAGATATTTTAACGGGAAAAAGAAGCCTGTTTCTATGCTTAAGTTCTCTGTTATTTCTACTCTTTTTTGTTGGGTTTCAGGGAGAGATTATAGATCTATGGAGGAAATTATTGTTTTTTTGGCCTCTTTGAAGGTCTAAGGCGCCCTCTGGCCCTTGTGTTCCTTTTGTTTCTTTGGGTTTCGCTCCCCTTTTTGAGCGTTTTTAATAAAATCTTACTTATCAAAAAAAAAAAAATAACCATAGCAAAACATGAAGCTAGTGGGATAGAAGAATAAAGCAGTTCATTTTTATTTTAGATAAGGTTTCATGATGCTTGCTAGTTGGAGATAGCATTGCATCTGTGATGTTTCCAATTTTCTCCATTTTTCATTTTTCCGGAATTTCATTGATGCGAGGGCATTTTTTGTCTTTTCACGTTGTGCGAACCGGACACTGAGGAGTGTGCCGGTTGTGTCTGAGAGTTGTTTGAAGCATTTCATTAAGTCCGGAACTCTTTGAAATGCAAGGGTGATCATTTTTGCATTTTTCGGTTTTTCAGGCCGGACGGTCCCGTGTGGGACCCGCTACCGGAATTGTTGCACACGAGAATTTTAGTTGGGTCCATTTGCATTCCATGCATTTTATTTAATGTGCCTTATGTGAATTTTATATAGTTATGTATATGTATGTGGTGTAAATTAAAAACAAAAGTAAAAGGAAAAATAAAAAGAAAATGGGTGGGACCCACAAATGTTTTAATTGGTCATGAGACCGCATTTGCTTTCTGTTCTCTCATCCTCTCTCTCCCGCTGCTCTATCTTCCTCTCAGCTTTCTGTTTTTTTTTTTCTTTTTTTTCACTTCAAAGCTTCCATTCTTGATTCCTCTCTCAATTCTTGGTATTTTTAAGTGCCGTTTGCGGCAAATTAAAGCTCACGGCGAGGCCTACAAGTTGATAGAAGCAATTCCTTGGTTGGTGCACCATAGGAAATTCGAAATCCTAGGGTTTGAGGTGAAAAAATTGGGGATTTTGCATAAAATTGAGGTAGGGGTCTCTAATTTACATTTTCTTGTTCCTTTGTGAATCAATTCTTGTTATTTGATGCCAACATGCTTAATTGAAATTAATTACCTCTAGAATGATTTTCTTGTGGGTGTAAAGTTCATGATTATATGTGTAATTGTTGATTTGTATAAAAAGCATGCTTCATTATTAATTTCTTTATGTTATTGTGTTGACAAAATTGGTAGAAATGATACATGGAAGCTTATGGAAATTTTCTTAGAATTATTGTAATTTCTTTATGTTATTGTGTTGACAAAATTGCTAGAAATAATACATGGAAGCTTATGGAAATTTTCTTAGAATTATTGTAAAGCTTGTTTAATTATGGAAGTATTATGGAAATTTCTTATTGCCCTAGCATTGAATACATGAGACATACATGCATATCATGGGACATGAAGGATGGGAAATGATTTTGAATAAATAAAAAGGAGATTTTGGAGAGAAATTTGAGAAAAAGGTTCTGAGGAAAACCCGGTCGCCGCGGAGTCACCAAAGGGCCGGTGTGTTAATATAGCCTAGAGGGAACTAGGGAGATTGCCCTAGCGTGGTTGAGTTATCTGAGCCCCAAATGACGCTGCGGAAGTACCAAAGGTCAGGGACATTGGTCAATCCTTCTTTCGTGTCGCTACGGAGTCACCAAAGGGCGGGTTATATTAACAGTTTGTGAAGTGATGAATGTTTTCTGAAAATGAGGAGTAACATGCATAATATTGCATTCATGGCTCGAGATTTATTTGCCTTGAACTTGGAATTGATATTGTGTTTTCCCGGCTTTGCATGACCCCAATTCCTATTGTCCTATTCTCTATTTGGATTCACGGGGTTTCAAGAGGTGCGGCTTAGGCACTACCTACTGAGTTTTACGCTCACCCCATTATTTAATATTTTGCAGGGCCGGGAAAGGAAATAGTGGATGCCGATCCCTCTCAAGCATGAAGAGAACTAAAGATCTATTTTGATACCTTTTGTGTTTTGGTTAATTTTTGTAAAGTCTCAAATTATGAAAAAGAGTATTAATTTTATTTTATCATGGCCATGTAACATAACTAAGGTACTTGACTATTTTTGGATGTAAATTGAGACTATGTAAATGCTTATGTTTAATGGGATGACGATGATGGGCCAACTTGAGCAGGTTGTTGATGTGGTAGTATTAGAGAATGTATTATATTTTTTTTGTATTGTGTGTTAGGACAGGTTAGATTAGTCTTGAAAGGCCAAGAAAGGCCATTGCAATTTTTTTTTTAATTAAGCAAGTTATTGTAGGCCCCTGTTTAGCAGAGGTCATGTCGAAATTTTTTTTTTATATAAATAGTATCAGTTTAGGGTCGTTACAGCATCAGGTAAGCAACCTACTACAAACGGAAATATTATGACTGGAATTTTGAAATTCAGTGGATGCAAAGAAGACAAATGAAGATGTTATAGATTGATGCACCAACTTTCAAAATAAAACCGTAATTCAAGGGATTTGACACATATACTAACAGTTGAAAGATGCTTTAAAAAGCGTGAGATGCTGAGAAGCACAACATAGATATTTCATGTTCCAAAAATTCTAGTGGATCAGGAATACAGCACTAGACATGAAAATGGAACAATTCAGACCATGTGGAAAGAAGATATATACCAAGCTAGCAGTGCCAAGTTAAAGGCACAAGGAGATATCAAAAGTCAAAAGCAGTTGATGAGGTTAGTAGACCATTAGTGGACTATTCTCAAATGACTAGATTACTATTAACCAGATGAAAACTTGGTTCAGACACTATTAAATTGTGATACAAAATTTGTGTTTCCAACCACACACTGACAGAAGAATGATAATTCAATTGGTTCAACTCTGTAACATAAACCCCTACAGTAACACACATTTAACCATGTGACTGAGTCGTCCATTACAATGAGCACATGCACAGCAGCTGGGTTTTACAGATTCCAATGAGAAAATACGAGCACATCAACATAGTACCAATTCTCCCAAAAGGGTATTTAATTTCAACATCTTAAAATACCTATAACTTAATCATCAAAAAAGTAACCACCAAATAATTGTTAGTTCCACTAGCTAAGGAAATTTTAAAAAATAGTAGGCTTTTCATTACTATTTTCCACTCAACCGAACCAGATTCAACCATATATCTTAGTTCAGGCAATTTTCTCTTTTTTTTTTCTATTTTCTTCTTCATTTCTAAGAACATGAAAACATTTGAATATAACTGATTTCAAGTTTGATTTATTTTGTTCATTTCTGAGAGCAACAACAACACGGAACGTATAAAGATAACTGAAGTGAGCAAATGAAAATAACTCACATATAAAATTTGCTTCTCAGAAAGGCCCAGTGCTCGAACCAATCCGATGCTTTGATTCTCGGAAGCCGGAAAACCGTTGCCAATGATAACAGCCCGCCTGATGACGCCGTAGACACCGCCTTCGAATATGTCCGGCACGCCCATGGGACCGGGACCGGCGGGCGGTTCAGGCAGCCTGATCGGCTTCATCTGAGATGTATATATAAAACCTAAACCCTACGAATTTCAAATCGATTTCGATTCAATAAGAACATATATATACACACACATCCATATACATGCGTGTGTATGGTTCCGAGGCTTTCTATGAACAGATTTGTTGCAGTATGGACTACACTAGAAGATCACTAGTTGGAGATGAGGAAGAAAAGGCAGCGTCGCGTTTGGGTATCGGTTAGACGGATGGTTAAAGTAACAAAGTTTCTTTTCTTGGAATACCGGGTTGATGTCTCAAGCTACTGCACAGGCGGTGCACGTCTCCTGCCTCTTGCCCTTCCCGATCCCTTAACCCATTTTTTTTTTTTTTTTTCTTTTTTTTTATATATATTTATATTTTCTTATTTTTATTTGGTTGGTTGAGAGGTAAGTAATAGAAAGGATGGAAGACGTTTTTATTGTTTGGGAGGTAGGAAGGAAAGGGAGGGAGGAAAAGGAAAGAATTCGGGGGGCACAATACCAAAAAAAAAAATTAGATGAAAATAGGAAAGGAAAAGAAGAAAAATCGTTGCATAAATATGAATATGAACTTTGTTAGACCTTAGGAGGGTCGGAGTCAAGATTTAAATTCAGAGGGCACAGTACCAAAAAAAACAAAGAAGAAGAATAGGAAAAGAAAAATGACAGAATTTTGAAAGTAGTGTTCAACTGCTCCCTGGTGAGCAGAGAGTTCCCTAGTGAGCAGAGGGTAGTATACTCACTTTTAATTCTAATCGCATAATCTAATCCAATGGACATTATTTAATTAGCTTTCTTATAACTATTTTTTGAAAGAAACTTATGTTTCTTGTTAAAATTCAATACAATTAAAATGAAATGACAAAATTAGACATTTAACAAAAATTTAACAATTGTCTTACTCTTTTCGTTGATTGAATTAGAATTAGGGAATTAAATAAAAATTCCTCTTCTTCTCGCAAAGTAAGACCACAGATTTTCTTGGAAGTGAATAAAAAATTATAGGTCTCTTCTTCCAATAAGTAAAACTAGATATTTAATCATGTGTTATTTTATACCCAATGAGAAGAAAATAAATTTTTTTCATAAAAATTTAGATGGTTTCTTGATTCTCATATTTGAGATGCTCTGCCATTACCTTATCTCCTTTTCCTGTTGCTTCATAGAACTTGCATCAATTTGATTTAAAAGTGAAGCTCAACGGGTGCATAGAGAGAAGCTTCATTGCAAATATGATCAAAGTGATTTTCAATCTTAAGCATAACATCCGAATAAACCAAATCCTTTACACTTTAATCAGATTAGTTTAGTAAAGTATTATTTAAAGATTAGTATACCCTAAACCAAATTTGTTAGTAGTAAAACTCAAATAAGAATCTGCAAATTAATTCGCTTGAAAGTGTAGCATTTATATTGTAGTTTTAACAATCAATAGTTGTAAGTGCAAAATTCTACTCAACCAATAACAATTGAGAAAAATAATACAACACACTTAAGAACAGTAAAAATAAATAAGAACAGTATCTAGAGAAGCGTAGAATTGCTTGGATCCCTTTATTGGAGGTCTGGGCCTCTATTTATATACAAAAGTTAGAAGAATTATGGTAGGACTCGCATTGCTTGTCCTCTAATTCTTTCCATATATCAATTTCTTTACAAATAGAATTCTTTCCTCTTTATAATTCTTCCCTTTCCGGATTTTCCTTACACAGAACTTACTTCATTTGATGACTCCTTTTCCTTATAGGACCGGTTCCTTCTTTAAATGGATTTGGGCCGCATCTAACTTGGTACACATGCCTGCTGGCGTCTTGATTCGAGTTTTAGTAAAGCCCGTAGTTAGATAATGGGAGTTTTGGGCTTATGACCAACTCAACTTGGGCTTCTGACGAAATGGGCTTTGACCTTTATTGAAGATAAAGTTATATTTATAATGACGTGGATTGCTCTTATTGGAGGGAGATTTTTCCCTTCACACTTTGCCCCCAATTCCCTTTTTAATTGGATTGCGGCTCCTATTAAAAAGGGAATTGAAGTTGCACGGTTGTCTTTTTTACCAAAAAAACGTTTCGAAAATTACCCATTGCCATTCTGCTTTAAGAGATTCTATAAGGGTTACTTTTTCTCTCACTACGTTTCTTGCATTATTCACTCCGTCGTCTTATCAGGTTAGTTCTCCATCTTTTTCTCTTCGATCTTGCATTATGAGTACTTCGACTATTCATGAACGTATAGATATCATAGATTCTGAGTCCACTCCCTCGTCTTCCCCTAATCTCATTAGGGTTCCCTTACCTAGGGTTTCGAACTTTCCTAAACCCGTAAGTGACTCGGCTAATCAGCTAGGTGCTTCTCCGATCCAGGCTGGAACATTCACTTCTGGGTCGGACAATATCCTCACTAAGGAAGAGAAGAGTGCAATTCTATCTATTCACCGCATCCCGTTCTCCGTTGAATCCGTAATAGAAAAATTTGAGATTCCTGAGGGGATAGAAATTGCAGAGTACCCCAAAGGTGTTGATTTTTGCGCCGGCGAGGGTATCGGAGAAGACGAGTTGCTCCTCTCTGTCGGGCATCTCAACGCTCTTAGGTTCTCCCTTCATCCCTTCTATCATTTAGTCTTCAACAAATTGGGGATTGCACACCTGCAAGTAAACCCTAACTTCCTTCAAGTAATCTCAGCACTCCTCATTCGCTGGTGGCAAGAGAGTCTTGACTTGACTCTGGCTGACTTGCTGATTACTTATTCTATTTCTAAGCATGGAATCGAGCCTTGTCGTTTCTTTTTCACTTCCCCCTTGCACCAAAGGATATGCACAGACCTTCCTACTTCTGAAAAGAAGTGGAAAGAGATGATGATAGTTGTTCGAGGGAAATGGGCCGTGCCTCAATCAAGCAAACTCCCAATCTCTCGCAAGTTCGGAAAATTAGGTATAGAATATCCCCTTTTTCTTCATGAAGAGTGCTCGGGCTGTTTCCCATGTCGAGTCTTACTATTTCGATATATTTACGAGTTTCTTGGTGTTTTTTCAGCAACATTTCCTTTTTCAGCTGCTAAGAAGAGGCTTTTCTTCCTGGAAAAACCGGGTCTAGAGCAACCCTCCCTCGATCGAGAGCTTACTCACTTCTGCGAGTCTTAAAGCAGTTGCTTCCAGAGCTGTAGCCGCTGATCTGATGGACCTCTCACTTCTATCTTTTGACAGCTTCCCCATAACTGAGGAAGAAAAACAGAGGGCTGAAGCCTTGAAGAGGAAAGTTGCAGAGAATGCTCCGTTAACTATACTGCGCACAAATGAGCAAGAAAAGGAGATTGACGAAGTCCCTTTGAACAAAAGGGCAAGGCTGAACTCCTTTTCAGCCGCGAAAAACAAGGGTGCTTCCAACCCAAAAAGCAAAGGGAAGAAAGCCAAAGAGGTTAACCCTGAGGATGAGGTCAGCACTTACGTCCTTGCCGAGGCTGGAACACCTTGGACTCCTTCCTTCTTGAGGGCTGACAAGTCCATCCTCCATGTTGGTGATTCTATGATCAATGACCCATCTACAGCACTGGCCGTTGCTTAGGGAATGTGGCTCCCCAAGGATGAAGAAATTATCGACAGAATGGGGCCGGAACAGCTACTCCCATCTGCCCCTGTTCGAGCCATAGAGGTTTGTCCCGTCTTTCATTTCCATTGTCATAATTGCCTTACACACTTTCTTACATTGTTATTATCTCACAATGCAGGGCTTGTATCATACTATGGCCCTCTGTGCTACTGCTGAGGCTCAGTCTCTTTCCCTTAAGAAGCTGGAGAAGGACCTCAGTAATTCTGAGAAGAAGGCATCCCATGCCATTGCTAATGCACAAATTGCATACGAGGCTTGGGATGTTTACAAGAAGCATTTAGTTGCCTCTGATGCCAAAGTTGAGTCGCTGGAGGCTGAAGTCCAGCGTTTGAGTGATGCCCTTAGTACCTGCATCATTGCAGGGAGGCAGATGCAGGGTCGTTACACCAGTTTGGTACGCTTATCTAGCGCCAAGGCATTCAGGTCCGGCTTCAATCAGGGTTCAGGGGAAAATACAACAGATCCCGAAGCTTTTGATGCCCAAATGGGAGTGTCGTTCCATTATGATGAGGGTCCAAAAGCTCAAGAAGCTGAAGTTCTTTTTGCCGAGATGGTGAAAGCTCATCCTGAGGTCCCTACAGCTCCAAGTGTCTTTACTTTTGCAACTGGCCCATCAAATCCTCCACCTGCAAGTCCAGCTGTGGTAGATGCTTTTGAATCTACCCCGTTTGATCCGAAGAGGAAGTAGGATCGAGTAATATATATATATATATATATATATATATATATATATATATATTAATGAAACAACATTGGGAATGAATGATATATCCATGTTTCTTTAAGTTGTGTCATTTTTATTCTACTTTGACTGAGTATGCTTGTATGCTTTTAATATTGCACACACTTTGTCAGATGAGGTTATTTCTAAGGAAAGTACCCTGCCTGAGAGTTCCTTATCTGTTCCCTTCCGAAGCAAAATAAATAAGATGTGAAGAAGAGATCTCCTCTAATGGTTTATCTGATAATAGAGGACTGTTTTTCCCTTTGGTGATTTAACCGTTAAGAGAACTCTTCTTGAAACGGATTTGTGTGAAGCAAGTATATTTATACTTGTTTCTTCTTGTAATTTTTCAATATGGGACAATCTCGTGGCTTATATTATCGAACTTAGAATCAGTGAATATGAGCTTAAGAGTTAAGTTTGCCAAGCCGGACGCTTAGGGTCCGAGGCGAATGAATTACTCCCTGGCGCTGAGTCTGAGGGGAGGTTTGCCAAGCCGGATGCTTAGGGTCCGAGGCAAATGAATTACTCCCCGGCGCTGAGCCTAAGGGGAGGTTTGCCAAGCCGGACGCTTAGGGTCCGAGGCGAATGGATTACTCCCCGGCACTGAGCCTAAGGGGAGGTTTGCCGAGCCGAACGCTTAGGGTCCGAGGCGAATGAATTACTCCCCGGCGCTGAGTCTGAGGGGAGGTTTGCCAAGCCGGATGCTTAGGGTCCGAGGCGAATGAATTACTCCCCGGCGCTGAGCCTGAGGGGAGGTTGGTTTGCCGAGCCGAACGTTTAGGGTCCGAGGCGAATGGATTACTCCCCGGCGCTGAGCCTGAGGAGAGGTTTTGTTTATATTTTTTCTCAAACAACTTATCATGAGGCCGAGGATTCAAAAATGATAATAGGCCAAGAAAGCGAGTAACAATGGCTGTGAAGTTTCCTATTTGTTGACTTTGGAGACTTTTCTCCTCCATTGATACTCCTTTATTGGCATCCAAATGTAATGGACTACGCATATATTAATCGCATTTATTTTCTA